AGTAAACACCATTATAAGATCACTTTCACTCTCGCCCACTAGTACTTACTTTCCAAAATAACAAATCGCATCTATAATATGTTTATCTTGTAAATGGTAAAGTGAGGTCTATTAGACCTCAACAACAATTTCCTCTTTTCAAAATGTTACTTAACTAATTTTAAAATTTAACATTCGATTCTTACGTATAAATGATATTTCGCGTATAAATGATTTAGTTAAAATTAACGACGTTTAAATTAATTAATTATGCAATGGTAATCTTTTATTGTACCCTTCATCCTCTGTCTCGCTACCACCCACACCCAAGTAGGCCCCTTTTCATTTCGTTCTAGAACTAGGATCGTTTCTTGATTTGCAGCTTGATTTAGCTATTAACTCCACTTAACGAGGCGCAGCTACCAGACTCATTATTAATAGCACGTTCTCACGCGAATTAACCCGGCTAAACCTCTAACGAGAAATCCTGATATTACGATCTTTCTAATTGACACGAACACTTTCCGTGATTGCTTAACGGATGCAGAACACCTGCACCAGGAAAAGAGAAGCGTTTTGCCATTGCGTTACACGGCCATTAAGCTCTGCGTATACTTACTTCTTGTGATCGACATACACGAATGGAGAATTTAATTAAACGAGCATTAATTACAGCTGAACTATAATTTACTTAGATACTGTAGACATGGTGGTAGTAATATACATAGAATAATCATTTTACTTTTTCACCTATAAAGCAGTAGAGTGATCAAAATTTATTGCAAATAATATCAGATACGTTTTCCAATATTTAAATATCTTCTGATTTACAAACATTCTCATAATCTATTAATTATTTGAAAATAAAAAAGTTTCATCAAGAACGTAACTGTGGGCTATAAATAAATGATATTTAATTATCTTAATGCGTTGCCTTTCCCATGCCCGTTCGATCGTAGCTAGCCTTATCTACCCTAGTTACAGCAATTAATTTCATAAAACTAGTAATTAATTTGTTAGTCAAGCTCGAGCTACCAGTTTCTGCATTTGTGTATACAATCTCACTTATTTCGATACTATAACGAGTGGTTTAAACAAGAATTAATTGAATCATATGAAAAATTGAAAGGAATTTCGAGCCTTAAAATATTTAAAACATCTTACTATTCAATAAAATTTGAATACTTCAACTTCCAATCAATTTTCACAGAATATCTTTAACTATCCCCACAGGTTAAATGATTTTGTCATAAATACCTGTTATTCAAGAATATTAATTACCCATCACTTTAAGAGGCATTATAGAAATCAGTCATTAATCAAATAAATATTTTACGAACGATAACTATCAATTTCTATCATTCGCAAATAGCCATCTATTAAATTCTAACATTCTTCGATTATTCCCAAGACTTATCTAATTATAATTAATAAAGTTTGCACTGAAAACATTTGAACTAGCACGATTATAATTGTAATTGATAATTGATTACCCGTCAATGTGTTGGACTATTATCATTGCGGTCATTAATAACCGGGTTCGCATCAATTGTGATTATTAATAACAGCCACGGTATAACGGGCAACGTAACTAGCGTTCAACTATGGGGTATTAATCTCCCTGTTAGTTTGACGTGACGATGATGCGGTAGTAACCTTTAACTACTCTGCCTTCTGGCGCTATTTAAGACGGTATCCACACCCACGGTTGCCGCTCTTTTCCTTCTCCCTTTCTGTAATTCTATTGGGATTTTTCTTCTTATTATCTTTCTTTTCTATCATTGGTCAAAAGTTATGACTTTGTAGCAGTTGAATGCCAAACAATGAGTTGTATATTTTGATGTTAGAATGGAGCTGCTTTGTAAGGAATAAGCAAGGAACATGTATATACATACATATTTAAAAAACTATGAAACTATGAAACTTTGTGAACATGCAAGGAAAAAATATTAGCTTAAAGAATGTTATTGAGGTAAATTTTACATTTCCAGATTTTTATCGCATGTATTTCCTCCAGTAAAAGTAGTCATTTCCCTCATTTTCACCCTTCTTCGCGCGTAACCCACTTTGCTTTTTCGTTTGACGCAGTGATGATACCACGGTAATAACCTTTAGAACAGTTAAACGTTCACCTTTTGCTACTACAAAACGACATTCGCTTTCTCACGTAACCTGTCTCTCTTTCCTGATCCTCTTAGAGTAATCGACGACCACGTTGTCTGGCTGTTTATATGCGTATGCTTGTGAATATACCTAATAACTGCTAGGTACACAGGTAGCAAATTGCGTGCATCTTCGACCTCCAGCATTTTTATTAATTCTGCTGTTATATTGACACAGTAAATATACTAATATTATAGGTACTAATGAACAAAATTTATGATTTATGTGTAGAGAAAAAATGAATAGGGGTAGGAAACGAATGAGTACACGAACTTCTGCTGTACATATGTATACAAACCTGATAAAAAGTTTTTGAAAGAAAAAAGAAAATGATTTTTATTTTCGAATAAAGTGCACGTTTTGTAAAATGAAAGCGGTCCGTGGCATTGATGCTGTTATAGTAACGATCATCGAGTCGTTTTTCACCGACCTTTCCCCCCAAAAAGGATCGCGGCCGTGTTGGCTGCAACAGTCCGCGAAGTTCACTTTCCGCCCGCGGAGGTGAGAGCTCCATGGGAAGCTTCTGCCCGCTACCTTACCGCTTCGAACATGCCCATAACTTGTTCTTAAGCATGTGGAAACGCTTTCAAATCGTCGTGGCGCGGCCAAGGAGGTTACGAGTCGAATTAGTGGCCATGCCGAATCGTTGAAGATTAAGGAGATGTTGACGAACGTTCCTGCGTTTGATCGAAGGTATTTTTCACGCATGATTCTGCTACATCGTACTTCCAGTTATTGAACCGATGTTCAGGTACTGTTACATGCATGATTGATGATTCGTTAATGTGAAATTTTTAGAAATTTCTTCTTTACAGAAGCTAAGTTAAACATAATCAACAAACCATCTCTTGCATAAAGATCAGCAAAGAACAACAAAGTATGTACCAAGTTATAATACAAAAAATCACTGTTTTAATTATTCACGCTCGAAATGTACATACCTGCTATTTAATTCAATGTTCCGAGAATGAACGAGCCACGTTACTTACTTACCTTGTGCATCGTCGATTGTAAAGTAAAAACTACAGACTGGCCGTAAAGTGGTCGTAAAATACCGCGTTGCCGAGGAGAGGAGGCGCTTACCGGCAATCTTTCAACAGATAAGTTATTCAGTGGCGCGTGTTACGTGGGCAAAAATAGGATTACACGGGATGGAAAATATTTCAAAATCCAGGAAAGACATCAACGAATGGAAGAGGTAACGTTCCATCGTCTCGGAAAGCGCATCAACGAGTCGTATTCAATCATCGTGACATTCAGCTCACGACTTTTGCCCCAGGAGGTGAGAGCAGCTTCCAGCAGAAGCATAAAGCGAACAGGATGCACTGGCTGCAATCTTGTTCGCCCATACCTTTGAACGCTTAAAGCTTGTTGCACAATTGCAAAATTCTGCACGAACCATGACCGGCTGCAAAAATCAACTTGCTTCGCTGGCCAGTGAAAGCAGTACGTTCCCTCTATATCATCCTTTACGACGATCTGATTCGAATTTCATGACGTCCATGACTATTCTACTCGGTATCGTGATACCGCTGATTCAATACAGATTCGTGATTTGCAAGCAAGTTCAATGGCTGAGCAGAAGGTATGAAAATGATGTTTATTTTAAACTAGCAATGAGTTTCAAATTGAACAATTCCAAATTTTTCATTTCTCTTGTGATTCGAAATTTTCTAAATTTATAAATTCCAACTCAACTCGACACGAGACTCGAAACTCGATCCGAAGGCTTAGAATGGCGCCTCCGCATTGGCGTGACTAGGTGAAGAACAGGGTGGGCCCACTCCACCTCCAACCCCAAATGTGAACTGGCACATTCATTATTCTGAAATTTTCAAATTTTAGTATTCTAGAGAAGCAACTTTTGCTCCATACTGTACCTTCAAAAAAAAAATAAAATAAAAATCATTGTCCAATATGTACCAGGAAAAGACATTTAAAGAAACGTTCTCAAGCAAGCCGTAGCTAATTCAATGTTTGCTAATTCTTTCCCTTTCGACGTCTTCCGGTCCAGCAGATATATACGTGTCTTTTTGGAATCCGGTAAAGCTGATTGAGTCAAGATGTACCGTACGCTGATTGGACAGCGTATTGTGACAGGAATGATAATTTCGTGCAAACACCCGGGCTATTTTACGCCCGCAGGAGGCCTGTTCCGATCACGAGTATACTCCTTATTCTTCTCCTTTCTCTTCATCCTTTGGCTCGTTACGATTTGCGTGACGACCACTTTCAAACAGTGTCCGTGTACGACTGATCAAGGAAACTCGTTGTAAATTGTATACCGCGCGATCTGGAACGGACACTTATGTTTCCATTTAAATTCTGTTGATATTTCAATTCTACTTTAACGTGTACCTACAATACAATTATTACAATTATTCGACAGGATACGATTTTTCCTACTTCTCTTCTATAAAGTTTGTTAATTTTTTTTCTGGATATTTGATGATGGTTGTTTAGAGAATATTGTTGTAATTAATTAAAAGAATAATTTCATCCTGTCCAAATCTTCAGTCCCTCTTACATAAGAGTGGCCTCGATCATCCGGTCGCAGATCTTCAAGTATCCCGCATAAACTTGTATGGAAGAAGGAAAGCAGAAGAAGAAGCACCGTAGCGAAAGTCGTCCATCAAAAGGCCCTGAGGGGCCCATTAAAATAATTCAATTAAACGGACAACAAATCAAGCGGTTCGGCGGAGCAGGCCGTGGGGACATCGGGATGAACACGGTCACCCGATAACTTTCGTCGGGTCTCACCGGTGTGGAAAAAAGGAATGGATTTCGTGAAAATGTTGCGCCTGGTCCCGCGGCGGGAGTGGTGGACAGAAACGTAGAGAAAAAGAGCAGAAGGTCGGTTTTACGAGTTGGCGAAATTTATTGGTAGGCCGGTAGGGTGGGACGTGCCCACAAGTACATTGCGATTCCCCGAAAGCACACGGAGAGTGTCACGCATACGTCGTCTTATCTCTCTTCGAGAGAAGAAGCAAGAAAAATTCTTGTCTCACCGGGCTGACCGTGCGCCTCGGTTTAATTTTTTTTTGCTTTTTTTTTGTTTTTGTTTTTGTTTTTGTTTTTGTTTTTGTTTTGTAAAGCTAGCGATACAGGCATAGATACACGTAGGTATAATATAATTATAATATAACATAATATAATATATAATATAATATATATAATAATAACATTATTATCACTTCTATTTAATCGGTAAAACGTGATACAGCTCTACAGGATCGAGATTGCCTATCGATGGCTACGATGCACACTGACTAAACGACTATTCTTTTTTTTCTCTTTCGTTAACGTTCATAAAATAATTAATAATAATAATACGTTCCGTTGATAATCGCATTGCCCGCAATATAATATTCAAAGACGCAGCGATATGTAATTTTAAGCTATGTACAAAGCACGACTGTTCCTTACTCCTTTCCAGGGATGGACGAGTTTCCGAGTACCCGAGTACCCGAACAAATTTATACGCCGAACAAACATTTGGTGTCCCGACCTTACCCATGCCTAGGGTACCCGCACACCCCTCCTCCTTTCCTTTCCTTTCCTTTCCATACGTCACAGAGGAAAATTCTTTCTTTTTTGTGTATGTATGACGACGATGTCGCCATATTTTTTCACTCCCAAAGTCGCGATCGTAGATTTTTCAAACTGATCAGCTGATTATCTCGAGGAACCTCGAGATGCTGTAGTTTTGAACAATCCAGGCGTTTAAACAATTATTTTTGCTTCTCATCCACGCTGTGTATTTATGTGTGTTAATTTACAACAAAGGGACTATAAAACTAGCCTCGCTAATTATACACGCGCTTCTAAATAGAGATATAATGAAACAAAAATATACAGGTCGAGCCGAGACACCGTGATATGTTGAATTTTATACAAGACTGCGTGTATCGTTTCTCAAGTGTCAATTTTGATTTTAATAGTGTTTGCGATGTGCTTTGATAGATGATGAAGTGACGGAAAGAAAAATAGTTGTTTCGACTGTTGCGGAGGGTCTGTCGCTTATTATAACGTCCGATGATCAACATTTTAACCCCTCAAACTTTAATATAAAATAATATAATGTTTTAATTGTATAATTATTAATTTAAGGGGTTAATTGATTTTTAATCTGGAAAGTGTATGAATTAATATTAATTTTAGTAATAAACAACAATCACTCTAATTCATTCCTTATGATTTGAAAAACACCTTTATACACTGCTCAAAATAATTGATAAATTTTATAAGATATTAGATAGTGTATTAAAAATTATTAAAGTCATTACTGTTTTTGAATATTACCTACATATATGAATACATTTTTTCAAAATATTATTCAAAACTTTACCAATTATTTCGAACAGAGTATTTACAAAATTACATGTACCAAGGTATTAGAAAATTTTTTACATATTGACTGTCACTGAACATTCAAGATAAAATATTTCAATAAAACAAAGTAAAAAATTACCTAATCTCAAATTCAACATTTGCATCATGACGTCATCGTTCTCTGTGAGAGGCACTGTGATCGGTTAACAGTTTTCGGTAGAAGGAACTTTTCCACGCCGATGTCCGTTCGATGAGAGGGGGCCTCCAGAAAGTCGCGGAATCGAAAGAAGGATATACCTATAGTCGCAGCTACGGATGGCCGGGAAACGTACCAAGCTGATCGATCATCGAACAGGATCATTCTAATCGAACGATCCCGCTCAGTGTGCACGAAATCGAAGAGACACTTGGAGATTCATCCAGTGGAAATCGATCCCAGCCGACTGGTACTTGCGTCAGCGGACCCGCCTTGTTTCACGTTTCCAAGGTCGTCTGGTCGCGTCTCGAAGAGTCTGCTTCTCCTACAATATCGATTCATTTCTACGAATAACAAGGATCAATAGATTTCCATCGAGAAATCGCATGAAATTGGTCCAAGGGAGATGAAGCTGGTGTCGCTTCAGGCCTGGGCGTGGTTTTTACGGTAGCATCGGCTCTTCGGTAGCTACTTTGAACCGGGTTATTACGCGGTCCAATTTGGGATTCTAGCCCGAGGTCCTCGTGTTGCGGCGTTGACACGGATCATTCTTTTTTACATCTTCTCCTTCCAATTCAAATTAGCTGCTTCCGGGGACACCTGGCTGATCGACGATGCTGAGATACTCTTTGATATTGAAATTTCAATTCTTCTCTTTTATCTTTTATCAGTGTTCTATGTAGTTAAGTTCATAGATTTACCTATTTGTTAATTAGATTTTTTCGAATCCCAAGAATCAAGGCGGTTGAAGATTTTAACCTTCTTTAAAGACTTCTGAATAAAACTTTAAAACTGAAATTCTAGCTCCTTTTTTGATGAACAGCCATTATGAAGAGTAATTATTGTTCAGGAGAAATGGATGTAGCTCAAGTCACTTCGACCTTGGCCTGATTACTCCATTCCCATGGATGACGCTTGGATCGCATCTTCGTTTTCCACGATTAAGTTGTTACAGCTGTTGTACCGTAGGAGAAAGCAGGAACTATGGTTGAGTAGATTTTGTGAGATAACGAAACTGGTTGGATACTTGATGTCTTCGAGCGAGCATGTAACTGATAACGAAGTTGGATTTTCCTGTCTCGTTTCCCAGAGTCTTACAGAATTCTTGCCCATTATTCTTGTCGCTAAATGATTTTCAATTTTTAAATACTTTCTATCGAACCAGTTTCTTGAGTTGTCTTCCGTCAGCATTTCAATAAACGAGTTCTTTGATCGAAATTCCTTAAGAATCTGAATTCTTCAGGATCTGAATTCTTTTGTCCTTGGAAGAATTTTCATTTGACTGCACCATTGATTCTTCCTGTTTGTTTCTGTCTCTCGTAGTCTTTATCGCGATGACTTGATGTGGCTGACGTCTAGGTGTCTAGGCTCGGAATACAGGAAAGTGGTAGAAGCTTTGAGACGAAACAATCGAAGAAGCGGGATGGAGGAGCGAGAAGCGAGGTTTAATAGGCGAGGAGACGATTAGTATCTACGGAACTGTTTCCCTTTTGCGACTCGGTAGGCTGGCGTTAAGTCGTTTCGAGCTGATAATAATTAATCGACCGTCCCGGAGAACAACCGACAGACGGACATCGGCAAGGATAGACGCGTGGTTGGATCAAGAAGTTCTCGGAATTTCCACGTAGACTTGATTATTATCATTGGAACTATCTTTAAAGCATTTCTTTTTTGCCTTCTCAGTTTCAGATTTTTTATAACGTCGAAAGATTTCTGATCGTTTTTACTTTTACTTTTACTTATATATACAATTCTAAGATTGCTAATTTATTACGGGATAAATGTTTTCAATTTCATAAGTTCGGCAAAAATTTAGTGGAATTAATTTTTATCTCAGCCTATAAATATAAAAAATAACGTACATACATTGAAATTCCAAAAACTAGTTGAAACTGTACCGATCGCGACCATAGAAATATAACCTAATGATAAAATAGCGAAACGCGCGTCTATGGGAGTATATAGGATGAATTGGCTGGATGGCTTCTAGTACCTAGAGTAGCCATTTGAATAGCCATTTGAGTAGCCGTTGGAGCCCTTGTAGGGAACAGAGTGTATGCTCCTGGAACAAAGATGGTCGAAATCGGAAGATGAGGAAAGTAAATACTTAGAAAAAACACGAAACTCTAACATTTCTTTCTCCTCCTGGTTAGCAATTCAATTCCACCACGTGTCGCGAGAGCGTATTATAGGTAATTTTGTGCGGGCTCGTTGTTAGTAGAAGGCGATAAACGTGATCGTAGCAGAAGAGCAAAAGAAGAAGAAGAAGTAGAAGAAGAAGAAGAAGAAATTGATGGTGGTGGTGGTGGTGGTGGTGGTGGCAGAGTTTTAAGCATGCTGAGCGTATCTTTTTCTTCCGTTCTTTTTCATTTTTTTCTCTGTTTTCTTTTTTTTTTTTTTTTCGTGGTGGCGGTACACGATGCACGAGAACCGAACGTGTTGTCTTCGTGGTTGCGGGAGACTTCGAATGAATATTGAAACGGAAAGAAGAGTGGAGCAAAAGAATCATGTCAATAATACTAATAAGAAATGGAAGAACATGGATAGCTAATATTTTTTGTTGTTATAGATTGTTTGAATAAATTTTTTTTGTTGATCATGTTGTTGATGTTGTTGCGTGTGCATTGTGTGTGTGTCAAGGTGCAGGAGATTCAGAGCTCCCGCTCACCGCCACCCACATCTACAACAGAACAGAAAACAAGACCACCGCCGTTACATACAAGGTATCCATTAGTATCCACCAGTATCGAAGATTTATTTTATCGTTCACTCGCTCGTTCGACTGTGTGCTCGCGCGAGTTTGCTCGCACGTTCCATGCGGAGGTAGCATTATTTCAGACTGATTTATAGGGGTCAATGCGATCTTCAATGTGTGACGGACAACCAGAGGCGCCAAGTACATTTTCGCGGATTTTTTCTTTTTTTTATACGTAGCCAGAGACAGGATTAAGTTCAATAAGTAAAAATTTAACACAATTAAAAATTAAATGCTTCATTGAATTTCATAATGTCTCCTTTGCAAATTTTTCTTTCTAACATTATAATTTACCATATTAAAGCTACCTAAAAAATTTCGTTTATTTCTCTCGAAGGCTTTTCAGAATTCAGCAAAAAATTCATAAAAATTTGCACATTGTAACACAACGATGAAAAAGTTATGTATATTCGTCGTAGGAGCAGTCAGTTTCCAGTTAGCTGTCAAATAAATTCGTTGACGCAAATGAAGTGTTCAAGCAGCGAGACGCAATGCGACTAGAAACGAGAAAAAGAAAGAAACGTTGCTGCTTTTGAAGAAGAATTTGCATTTTGAACGATAATTAACTGTCCACGTGACAGAATTACGATCATTAGAGATGTATTTTATGTCTCATCGACGTCGCACGAGTCGATTCTTGTTCGATCGTCAACGACCGACGGAACCTGGTTAAATTTTGATTTTCAGTCTTATCATTTAATCATTTGCACGAAATTTGTATCAAAGTCGTAAAACATCTTATCTCGAATAGCTTTTGATAACGACACTCGTATTACGAACGAATGTCAAGTTTTACACTTTGATGGCCTCTGTCACGTATTCCTAACTTTCATACTTAAATTTTCATCTTATTTTCACTAACCTTTTCAGTAATTTATGCTCCGATATAATAAAAATAAAATTCTTCCATTTAAAAATTATACAAATGTTTTATAAGTTTAGGTCACGATTGACCTATGCTCCGCTATTCAAGGGTTAATACATGCCTAGAAGATTAATGCTAGAATTATGTTTCAGTGTTTCATTTACTCTATACTCTAAAACGAATAATAATTAATAAAAAAAAGAACAAGTTGAAAAACAATAACGTAATCATGTATATATGTTAGCTGCTGTCAGAGCATTAAACATTCTAAAATCCTAATAAGTACTATTTTATGTTAAGTATTCCTACTGCCTATAACTGTTTCTAATTATAAGACCCGAAAAATTTTGCATTGCAAAAATCCCTAATAAATAATCTAACCATCACTGTTTTTCAATGATAGAAAAAGAAGTAGAAAATGACGTACACTGAAGGATTTATAAGAGAAATAGCACAATAATTCTGTGGCACTATATTCAAAGGGAAACTTCTTTCGCATGGAACGTGCTGCAAACTTAAAACACGTCAAATTGAATCGACCTTTCTTTCATCAAAACGTTTCGATTAACTAATCAATTATAATATTCAACATTAACTTAACTTTAGATGAAATTCATTATGCATTTAATCTACCAGAAATTGTTGAAAAAACAAAAATTACTAGACTTTTTATTTCTCATTCAAAAATTCAATCTTTAATGAATTTGATGATTAATGAATTTTACCAAAGTTTATATTAACATTGAAACCAAGCAATACTAAATTATTTAAAGAACATTATAGTTATAATATTCAATTTTTTCATAGCTGTCTGTGCTTCGATCACTAAAATCCTTCAGACGAGTTACTGTTACGTTTCGTCGCAATGGAGAAAGAAAAATTGACTTTTCGTCGGAAGGAAATCATCCCGTATAGTGAGTCACTAAATGAAGTACTGTCTTCTTTGGATTATCCTTGTTCGTCTTACAAAAGGTCGTACCGGTGACCCGACCGGTTTTCGAAGTGGTCCCTATGTTCTTGCTCGGTTGGGTCAATATACAATACACGTGGCTAGTTCGTTTTCAATCGTCCACATACCTCAGAACAAAAGCTGACATTTTTTTAATCGACTTGTACGTCACTTAAATTTACACACCTTTCAAAAAGTGAAATTAAAATTCTAGTTCTAATTTTTCACTTTTCCCAAGTAAAATTAGAAACATTGCAAAATTTTAAAAATGTCATCCATTGGTCCACGAAATAAAGTACCGCGGGCACAGTTGCAAAAGTGATTAAATTCTAAAATATTAATTTGAAATTCTTGATTTTAGTGTTCACGACGCGTCGAAGGTTTGCGACGGCGGATGATCGGAGCACAGCACGTCTATTTAGTTGTCATTCGAGCGAGCGGAATAGCCGGGACCAGCGACGAAACCGATAGCGCGGACCTTCAGACACCGGGATCACATTGAACTTCACACCGCGATCTATCCGTGAGACGAGCGCAGCCCGGACGCGAGCACACTATGACCTTTTCCCCTCGCACTAATTCATTGGTAACTATCACTGGGTCCCCAAGTGGATCGCGCGCGATCCAATCTACAGTATCGTTGCAATAATAATAAAATTAAAAAAAAATTAAACGAAGGAAGCAGGCTGCACTATTAACTGGGCACAGCTGAAGGAGAAAAAGAATGATCCCAGGGTCTGATCGATGTCTGGCACGAGTATCAACCTCGGAACCAGTCCCGTCGCCTCGCGGCAAATTAATAGAAGGCTTGATAAAAATATTTCTCCTGTACCTATATGTATCTATATATATATATATATATAGGTATACGGATCTATAATATTCGATAGAATATTCCGGTAAAATGTACCTGTGCTGCTTGAGGTTGTCCTGCCGCTTGAAGGACTTTCCGCAGACCTCACAGGTGAAGGTCACGTCGTCCTTATGGCTGCGCTCGTGGATCATGAGGTTGTAGGGCTTCGTGAAGCGCCGCTGGCAGTACTTGCAGACGAACTCTACCGTGCACTTGGCGCGCATCTTCTGCCGGCGGCCGAACTCCCTGCCGTGCCCCTCTGTCTCCATCGGCATTATCGCGAACATCCTTATAAATTCCCACCGCTCCTTCTCTTGGTCGACTCTCTGTCTCCTTTCCCTCTACCTCCTCTCTCGCGCGGTTCTGCTAACGCCTCGAGTCACTCCCTCCACCGATTCAACACGCTTCTCTGTCTCTCTTCCAAGCCTCGTTTTTCTCTCTTTCCACAGCTTCCTTTTGGTCCCTCTCTTGCCGCTCCTGCCGTTCGTGTCGCTCTTCTCCTCCCGCGCAAACCTAGTCCCGACCGGCTGACTCCTGCGAGTGAGATCGCTTGGGTTGTACCTCTTCGCGGGCAACACGATCACCTACCCTTCTGTCTTTCTACCTGCGGGAAATGAAAGAACAATGATTTTTCGATCGATTCCCAGGGTGTCTGGGTGGTGCCGATAACGAACAAGCCCGAATTGATCGTCCTCGGATGGCGGACCTTGCAGAAAACCCCAATTTTAATTTAATCCTGTATCTCATATTATTTTCATTTCCTTTCGTTCGTTAGTATACCTACTTATATTGATAAAAAATTCGCACCCTAATCTAAAAATCGCAGACCCAAAGGGAATCATCGCTACCAAGATTGAGCACGACCGTGAATTGAGGTCAAATCGAAAGTAACGTAGGAGGAAGCTTATTGCTGGTGGCCAGTCGTCGAAAAGTGGGGTCCCGCGGAGCGGAGAGGCAGCAATAAAAAAGGCCCCCGGGGTCTGATCGCGCGGACCGCCGCGGCCATTGTGCAGGAGCCGCGTCCAGATGCTACTGGTAGCGCAAGGTAAGCACACGGCGCACGCTCGAATAAAGTGGCGTGTCCGAATGAGTAATAAGCGTGGCTGGGCGTATCCCGGTTGGTTAGGCTGCCTAACGGCGGTGGGGCCTAATCGGAGCTGCGTGTTACGCAGCAGTCTGCTCTGCCCGCTTTTTGCTCGCCTCCTCTTCGTTTCGCGTCAGCCTCGAGACGGCAGATTCGTGGATTCGTTCCGCTCGCTACAATTTTGGCCAAACTAGTTAGTTAGTGAGTGGGTCATTTTTATAGAGAACGCTTAGGCTAGCCTCAGCTGCCTTTGTTTCGAGATTTTTGCCCAAACATTTTTGGAACATAAAAATGGTAATTTACCATTTTTCTTATTCTGACTGAGATTAATTAAGTGAATACCTTCGTGATGTTTACTTTAATCTACCATCTTTTTGCTAGAAAATTGAACTCCGAACGAATGTCATAAATTTCAAGCTACACTTGCCATATACCACCTAACAGGGCACCTACCAAGTGTGTCTACAGCGTGTCGTGATCAAGAGGTCAAAGCTAATGTATGATAATGTATGATAATGCGATGTATGTGGAAGCACGCACTTACAATCGCGTACTACGTCCAGGGAACTTGCGAATGAGCATACCCACGCGAATGATGTAGCAAAGTTCATTAACGGAAAGGTATACTACCTGAAAATCTTGGCAAAATTGTACCTTTAGAATTTTTGTTGAAATTTAAACAGCTCCTTGGAAGTTCCACTCTCACAATACGGTTTCGATTTGTTGTAACGAATAATGGAGTTGTTTAGCAGGCTGTGACGGGAATACAATTAAACCGAACAAGCGGGACATCGGATTTCTTAATTCTGTTAGACACGCGTCCTGCAATTCGATAAGGCTGTTCCGTTCTAAGAACGGCAATGCTAACGCGGCCTTCACTCGGAGCACGTCCGATGAAAGTAAAGGTTCGTGTACTTGTCATCCACCGAAAGTTATCGCTCGAATCAGTCATGGAAACATGCCTCGTGATTCGCATGGTTACGCCACTACTTTCGGGAAAAGGTAGAACCAAGTCTGAAGCTGTTAGACGAAATTCATACATTCAGTGAAACGATTTCGAATACTAAGGAGGGCCACTTGGGGCTCAGAATTAACTATGTCTGTTTTGTATTTAAAAGCTTGATGGTAAATGTAATTTAAGATTCTGAAAATAACTGGGATTTCCAACACTCCTCCAGCAAACCACCCTTCAAATCCATCATTTTTAACGTGGCCACACGGAAATAATCCGTTCCAAGACTGTCCATATAGCCCAGACAGCGAGTTCGAATCAGTAGTCGGGCTGTCAGCAGACAGGCCATACTCGCGACAGCCGGCCGAGATAAGTGACTGCCGCGTTTACGCCCGGTCCGTCGCGAGCAAAAGAAAGACGGAGGGCACGGATGAAGAGTCAGCCAATCAAAGAAGGACGCAGTGGAGCCAACCAAGAAGCCCGGTCGACGTGCGTGCACCCGTTCTCGGATGTATGGAGGAATAAAGAAGGGAGCAGTAGCCTTCGTTCGTTCACCAGTAGCCAACCAAAGAGGAGCTGCTACCGTGCACCGCCCTACCGCTGACTACCGGTTTTCGGCCACTCGCTACTGAACCTCCACACAAATCCACCGGGCGGAACCACACCCTCCTCCTCTGAATCGACCTGTTGCCCTGGGGAGTACTTCGTCGAAAGTGGAAGGGCCTGTCAGGGAACGGCAACTTCCTACTACGATTTCTTACCGCTGTCCAATAGGAAGAGAGACATGGTGGTATTGGATGATGTTTTTTGGGGATAGGATTAGGTGACACAATGATAGCCTTCAGTGCTGGTTTAATCCTTACTAATTGTAAGATTCCTGGGACCGTTTAGGCGCTATTTTACCAAATTGGTGAAAACCAATTTTGCACTTTGAAAGATTCGGTTTGAGAATTTAGGGTCATTGAAGACCTCGTGAACTGAAGAAGGGTTAGTATGTAAGTGACAAAAATTATTTTAGTTCAACTAATTATTAGCATGGATATAGGAACTTTTAGCTCATGTAAATTTCTTACTAGTTTTGTGAAAAAGTGGCAAATAATTTAGAATTAACAGACTTGTTTAAAAACAGTACCTAATTATCTATACAAAAATTTATATATCTAAATCTTGTAAGATTAATAATATAATATATGTAGGTACTATTTCAAATGAAATCAGTCGAAACTACCATTTTCCTACCACACTCCGAATGGTCTGAGCTCATCAAGCGGGTGGAGGAACATCTAAACTGAGAATACAGGTTCCGAAACCGTCGACGAATAAAATATTCGGCACAGCGTAGGCTGGTAGCCAATGAAAATGAACCAACTACCGTGTACCGCCCTGTGGCATGCTACCGGTTTTGGGCCACTCACCGCGAAGCCTGGAGTGACATCAACGATTGTAGACATCTTTTCCCGCCCGCTCGATTCGAAACACGATGAAGCAGCAGTCGCAAAGTTTGACATTAAATTTACATTCTCTAGCTGTTCCATTAAACTATTTTAACATAGATTAACACGAGTGTATTAAAATTTTCAAAAGCTACCAAAAACTTGAAACTATTCATAATTCTATGTTTTTAATAGGTAGGTATACAATAATGATTTTCTAACACTTTCTGTTATAAAAAAGAAGAATTCCGATGAAAAAGACATTAAAGTTGCACTTACCCGTTGAAAGCAGCACACGGACACCGTAGTTCCCTCTCACGTCGGGTACTTCTGACTGCTGAACAGACGAGAAGTAGATAAACGTTCCGTGGAATTGTTCGAACCGAGGAGCAAAATCGTAGGGTTCGCGTACAGTTCGAGACAAAGCGGGAACTAGTTTTCGAGAAGTGGATTCTCTATTGAACGTTACGTAGGGATGCTGTATTCCGGGCTGACAGGTCTGGACCGTTTGGGTGCGCGGCGTCGACTGAAGCTCCGTTTGCCCGCTCGGTTCGCTGGTAGCCCGAATAGGTAGGCACACCAGAAGACGGTAGGACGCGGTGTGTAACCGCCAAAGGTCTCCTTCGTCGGCGTCGTCGTCGTCGTCTCGCTTCTTCTGGTTGGAGGACCGGGAGACACCTCCCTACCGAACCAACTCACCGATGCCCACTAGCTGTCGTTTGTCCGTGTGAGAGCCTCTCTCGATTCTACCAGAAACGATCCAGGATCTTCCTTCCTTAGAAGAGCGCGGTCGGTAGGTGGTGGTAGTAGAAGAGGTGAGTCGAAGGACCGCGGAGGAGGAACGGGAGCAGAAGAAGGAAAAGGAAGAGAGCGGTACAAGAAGAGGAAGAAGTGCTCCTTATCCTGGCTCTCTAGGTCCCTCCCTCTCTTTCCGTCTCTCGGATGTCCTTGTCTGGCCAGTCACCGAATAGCAGCGCGGTTATTCACAAATCCTTCGACGACGCGGCTTCCTGAGCTCCTGGGAGAGTGCCCATCCGCCCTCCCTTTGCTCCAACTGTCCCTCGACATGCTCCCTCTCTTCCATGATCCCTTCCACCGGTCTCCGATGGGACCGCCCTCGTAACCGTTGGATCAGAGCATCCCTCTTCGCCCACGCGAATATCCTTTTCGAATAGGTCTTCCCACTCCCCGATGAATACCGACTCCGGTTTTCTTTCGCTTCGCGCCCTCTCCGCGTGCTTACCCCCCGCGGGGGCGGTAGCCGAGCCAGGGTACAAAGGAGGTAGCCGTCCGAGAAGAGCCACCGCGATCGTCCCGTCCTTCTCCCGCATTTTCATTGCCAGCCTCGAATTTTAACTCGGGGATATCGCTTCGATGCCAGAAGAAACTCGCGGAACCGTTCGGTATGGGTTTCACGATCGGCGGGCCCGGCCCATTCAGACGACCTGTCGCCGTCGTCCTCGGGGCGACCGAAACGAGTCCGCGTCAATCTGTTCGCCCACGCGAAAAAGCGGATCAGCTGAATCGGTTCCTGGAAGAGGATTCGCGGGAGCGGTGCGATCTCTTTGTCTTTATCGGGGCCTCTCGAGGCCAGAAAGCGCGACGCTGACGAAGGTGTGGGAGGAGGCGGAGGTGGAAGCGTGCGGGAACGAAGAGCGGGGGCTGACACGATGCCGCGGGGGTTCCCAGGGCACGTGGGAAATGCACAGTAGTCGATGTCAATCCCCCCACCAGCGTCGCTATGCGAGGGGGCCCGGTCGGTCCCACTCGTACCCCCACTTCCGACCCCGTCGGACCCAAGAACCATCGCCAGCGCGCTGGGCGCCGCCCAGCGAGATCTCGCGGTATCGCTTCATTGGACGATTCAATGGGCTATCGCCTCCTTCGCGAGCCACCGACATGATCGAGTGGTGGAAAAATTCCACGGGAAAGGCCGCTCGATCCCCAACGAACGAACGGACGAAGAAGACCAGTGAGCGATCGGCAACAAAGAGGACGCCGACGTACCGCGTGGAATCCAATTGTTGCCACCGGGCAATTTCGCTGGAATGAAGACGGCAACGATGACGAGGGGAACATTTTCAGCGTACGCTTTAAGCGTTACCGTTCCTCTCTTTCATAGGAATATTTAGGGAGCAAAGATCGAAACCAGGGACATCTCGAAAGGATTGGGTTTCTTTCGAAAGATTCTCATGGAGATACGGGGAAATTGATGACAGCAATTTTGATGCTGACGCGATCAACGGAATTTATGACGAACACTCAACGATGTTCGGTGAAAGACGACCAAAGGAAGCGGCTTATTTGGCTGGTCAAAGATGACACTTTGAGAGATTCTTTCTGAGAAATCTTTTGTTTTAGGTGCTTGTCGTCGCTTCGTTTGGTTTCTTTCGAAATTTTCGCACAATGTATACAGGAGTTGTAAAGAAGATTTGACATAATAACTGTACAGTAATGTTACCTGTTGTTAAATACAAATTTTGGGCGGTTTAGATACCCCAATTTTTCTCAATAAATACCTAAATTTATTTATATTTGCTTGTAATAGGATTCAATTTTATCATCAACAATCTTATACCATTTGAACCCCAAAATGGAGGCTGCATCCATGGTTGGATTAAAGCATAAATACTCCATTGAATAGAATTATTTTGCACCGAACTTTAGAATAATAAATATTCAGAATGATACTTTGATAGGGTAGCTGAGAGTAGACACATGTCCATAAAGGATTAAATTAATTTTTGGTGAAAAATAAGAAACAAAAGTAAGATCGCTAAAGGAATTGAACAAAATGAAAAAGCGTTTAGTTCCGAGAATGAAATGTGTAAATTGAAAGTGCTGAAGTAGAATGTACAGGTCTAACAAAATTGACAGGTGACGCGTTGATGATAAGAACGTTTGCAGAGGACGCATTACCGGCAACTATACAAACACTGATTTTAAAGATAATGTATCTGAGAATGAGTTTTAGTTTGCGCAACGGAAGAAAACGAGGAACTTATTGTTTACATATAAATAAATATTACATAATGAATTAACTACTAAAAGAGCTAAAGAATAATGCACATATCCATTAAGTTAATAGAATGTGGTAAAGTTAGATGAGCATTCGATGTTGGTTTATACCAGAATAATTCATTAACTTCCTGTTGCACTATTTTGAAAATAATCTACATATATTTACACCTAATTATTAAATTAGGTATTAATGCACATTCTGTGTATGTAAGTATGTATGTACGTACATCCTACATACATACAGTAAAATGGTGTGAATAACAAATGATTTCTATGATCGTACCACGTCGTTTGTTCAAATCTTTTCACTACTTGCGTAATAATGGTCCCTGGACATTACATAATGCGACGTTTTGAAAGGCAACGTATGTACGACTTACCTAGCATATTATTGGCGACGATATGACGCGCATTACGTAAAGTTGAAATCAACTCTGGATGACTGGACTCGGCTATACACGAAACCCATGATGTTTGCTTCTAATGGGAAGTAGTAGAGGACTGCAGATCAGACAGAAAAAATGGAGAATTAGAATTAAAGTATTAAAGTATAGCTGCTGCAGCAGCTGATGGACGTGTACCTATTATCGATAACGTAGCGATATATCGAGAGTCTACTTTGACTCTACTCTCTATCAACTCTTCGAATTATTCTGAATAATAATAGGTACTATAAAGGGATGAAAATTTCTCCGTTTTGAAGGGTTAAAAAAATGAAGCTGTATGTCTGGAAAGCGCGTATTCGGTGAGCGGATAGATCAGAGAGAGGCCGCCGTGTTGGCGCAGGAAACGGAAACTGGCGGAAACAAAGCCTCGGCAAACAGACGGCATCCCATGGGGAATGTTACCAGGGCAAATAGCGCGCGTCCTCGCTATCGCTGAGCCGCGACAAATATTGTCACGTCGTGGCAATACGAAGAAAGGTACCTCGGCTCGTTTCGACCTACGTCCAGGACCGATAGATTAGGTCCTAGCCACACGATACTGTAAACGCCATCACCTTCGCCCGTGGGCAGAGATAACGAGGAACGATCGGGACAGGTCCACGTCGAATTAGCAGGTAGGTTCGAGCTTCGGCATCGACGAGGGTACGGTACACCGGCTCAGGGAAACTCTTTTCGCCTACGGATGTAGATGTTTCTGATAATATATAATCAGCTATTGCAGTTCAGTTTAGCGTATGATTACGGGTTAAGCTCGATTAATCCTGAAAGATACCTACCTATTTACCATCTTACCCCATGTAAGTTATAATGTATAAATAAATAATATCAAAATAATACCTAATTACCTACATATTAAAGCCAATCTAAATCGCTATGACATATTCTCTACTCTGTAATCAATTTCCAGTACTTACATTACATTTGAAGTGTATCTAGTATTCGTTTCGAAATCATTCCAAGTATCAATCAATTCATTTCGATCGGAAAGCAAGCGATACAATTTTTTAAGGCCACCCAGTTCGCGAGGCAATCCGACGTGTCTCAAAGCGTTGTCAGACACGAGGATAATAAGTGTCTCCCGGAATGGCGGCTACATCAAAGACGCCAGTTGCGTACTTGGTCGGCGCGAAGTCGCGAGGCACAGATACGCGGACGCGCCCAATGGGAACGCGTCTGTATACATATATGTACTTGCTACGTATCTTCTCTACGTCTCTTAATGGTTCCTCCACAATTGCTGTTCTGTAATCGCATGAATTTTTCTTACCTTGCCGAGTCTACGAGTGTACCTACAATGGAGTTGAGTTCATTTTGTTTCGAAGTGTTTTGCTCTTACATATTTTCGACTGACATTAATTATTTATTTATATAATTAACTACAGTAGTTCACGAAGAACCGATGAATATAAGCGCCCATAATTTACACGAGTATGATCATTTTTTTTCGTGCAATATTTTTTTGTAATCTGGAACTGAATATTTTAATGTAAATGGGGTTTCTATGGTGTTGTCGCGTTCTTTATATTCTGTAAATAAATTGATGAAGCAAGAGAACACTATTCAAAGAATTTTGTTTCTATCGTTACCACGATGTTTCATAAACCACATTCTATATTTTTAATCCACCGTCGGACGTTAATAAAGTACAATTCCATAATTGAGGCACTTTATTGTCCATCGTTATCAGTTGCACTTGTTAACACTTAGATAAAGGGATTACTTTCTAAATGCTTGCTGATAATCAAAATAACGCGCAACTAGTGAATCACATTTGACGTTTTAACAGATTCTACCAGAAATTTATATAAAAACTCCTTTTATTTCTATAAAACACAACTGTGTAATTTCATTCAGAGAAAATTATATAATGTTATTGCTCTTTTGTCGTTTCAATCATACTTTGACTTTAGATAAATTGCATTTGCTCCATATTGACAAATGGGGGGGGGGGTTAAGAAAAGCTGTCATAGTGATCGTATTAAGGCAGTGTGAACGATGCTTAATCGGGGAAAGGGCTCGCGGAACGACACCACAAAAAGTTCTCCGGCATAATAGGCATAGGACGAACCCAAGAGGAATCATGGACTAAAGCCGCACCTTGTGCTGGCCACGTACTATGTATGCGACGTGCACACTTTATAATGCTACGCCCGCAAACGTACGAGAGAACTAACTACATAAGGTTATTGAGACTGTTGTACCGCTTTCACCTACGATCTTCCACCCTCGTTGCGTTCGCCTAGTTATTTTGAAACTGGAATTCGTTGCTTTGAAATTCAGAGGAATTCAGATTGTGCTTACCTACATACCTACATATGAATTGTAATGGCTTTTTTATTGTCACATTTTTTAAATTTGCAAATTTCAAAATAAATAAAAGGTGAGCATTTATAATGATGAACATACCAGAGACAACAATTTTATCAGATTGGATTATAAGTAAATGAAAGATTGATTCTTTCACAGAAGAATGAAAATGACAGTCGATATCTGAATTGTCACTACAATGGTATCTCATGGTCCAACAAAAGTGTTCCTTCAATCAGCAAACAGAAGACACACCTGGTTTCTTATCTCCCTTCGAAATGTTTCGGGGAAATTTGCATACTCAAATCTCAGGTGATCGAGCCACCATTCCATACACAGGTAAGTATCTATTTATTTTTACTATACCATATATACCTACAAAAATTATCTATATTTTTTAAAATCGTCGAAGTGACAACACCAGTCATCAAAATGAAACGAGGAGTCAAAAACGGTGCGGTTCGTTAGTGGGAACCATAAAATGCCTTGAACCGAGAGACGTGTGGACAGTAGTGTATATTGCCGTGCATTTAGCTTGTCGTGCGCCGCTGACAGAAAAAGGATTTGCCTTCGGCGCTTTACCGGATTTACCGAGACACCTCATGAAACACGCCCATGTTTGTCTTCAGCTTTTGAGCCGGGCCGAAATTTTCACAGAAACTCACCGCCGTCGGCGCGTACACCGGGACACGAACGTCAAGAACGAAGCCCGGACGATGTAAGAGAGACTGACTTATCATACCGTGTTAACGACATGCCGGCAGAATAGATTGTTTGTCGATTTTTCACTCTCCTCTCGCGCTATAAAGCCGGCTACGAGTGCTCGTAAAACGAGACCAGACTGGTATAATACAATGGCCTTTATTCTGACACAGATTCACCGGTGTGATATAATCGCTATTAAAATCGCATTTTCAGAACATTGGATAGTAACACTGCAAGGGAATGAAAAGTGTCTGATCAACTGCATTATTTAATATACATTCAAATTTTATATACTTTTTTTAAATATTATATCTACATACATATGTACATATACATATAATGATGAATACAGAGATGGAGCTATAAAGAAGATATTAAAATCTTGTAAAAAGAAGCGTACTTACGTTTTAAAGTAATAGATATTTAAATCTGAAAGAGTAATCATGTTATTCTGTTCATTTTTTAAATTAATGTTTCCTATATTATTTTCATTTAATAAGATAGTACCCTTCTTTACTTATATATTTGATAAAATATCGACTAAAGGTTATTATTAATCTACAATCGGTAGGATACTTTCAGTAGATCATTTCCTGATTGATGGTAATACAGATTGCTGTATTATTATATTTAATAAGATACAAATTGTCAAGAAATATTAATATTTCGCGCCAATTTTACTTCAATTGACAAATTGCGTGATTTTACTGTTAAACCTTTTTGAACTATTACTTCTTTCATTAATATTAGTATAATAGTATAGTATAGTATAGTATAATAATATTTTTTATATACCGTTAAATAAAAAATGTCTATCAATTTGAAGCTTGACGTACTGTTATTTCAAAAATAATTATAAAAAATGATTAAAAATGCCTACATATAGGCATTTAGTGGAAAGGGAAGGCGTTGAGTCTCCCCGGACGCCCTTAGGTCGGGTCGGCAATCGTCAGGTGGCCAGGTGGATTGGTCTCTTCTCGCTGGCTCTCCCCCGGCATGCGATTCGGGTATATGTATATGAGTTCCGAAAAGCTAGATTATAGATGGATGGGGCAGGGATTATCTGTCGTCAGCCCCACTGACAAGTCTGGCAGACGATACCGAGACGAAACCCCTTTTTTTGTTCCTACAATTCAAATATTTTTTATATTTTTTATTTCGTAGTTCTTAATATAATTTACAAACATGCTTAACTCTCGTATAAATCTAAAAATATAGATATTGGTGCAAGATGTAAACTAATAACATAGAAAATAACAGGACATTTGAGTCGGTCACGAACATTCTATTTCATTTTGTGACCGGTACTCGTTGTACATAGTACATTGTACATACATTTCCATATATCACTATACATTAGGTATGTTTAAAAACAGTACAAAGTATCATGATTCCCTCTTTCTCACTCTCTCATTGTTTCTCTACCCACACACACGCACGCATACATACATATAAGAGAGAATTTCATTCCTATTTTAATGTGTATATCTGAAAATAAAATTTCAGACTACAATGTAATTCTTGCTTCATTCTCATTGATCACGTTTCGTTCGTTGAGCCCTAAACGTTTCGAAAACATCTCATATCGTCACATCATCAGCTTATTCATAAATAATTGTGTTAGCTAATTAACCCTTTGATTGGTTTACATAATCATCTAATAAAATGTTGCTTTCAGTATAGTAAATAACTAAATAAAAAGGAAATGAAGAATTCTCTTCAGAAAAAATATGGCTTCACTTAAAGGGTTCAACTTTGATCAATATGAAATTAAAGAAGCGAGATGGAAGAAAATTTCACAGACGTTCTCCCTCGTTCTCTTCAGTTCCATTCGAAAAGAAAGCTCGTTTCGACCGGTAGTAAAACCGAGGGGATCAAAACCTGCGTAAGAAAAACCTGCGGTTGGACGGTGCAAGGCAGGTTTACAAAGGACCCCTAATGATCCTCTTCAATAGAATAGGAGAAAAAAGAGGATGGTGCTTGTCTAGGGTCAGAAATATTTTTAGAAGGGGGCAGGTACCACCGAAACGAAGTAGCTTCGACACTTATTGCACCTGTTACCTGTGGCAACGGTGGCACAGGTTGTTCCTGTGGCCAAGGAATTTGCATTATCCCCTCCTTTTATCCATTTGGACAATGGCACCCTCCTTTTTTTTCACATGGAAAATTTTTCGGTCCATCTTTTGTAAATAGTTGTTTCTTGTCGCTAGTATTAAGGCACGTTTTCAACATTCTATTTCTTTTTCTTGTATAATAGTACAGGGTGCTTTAGAAGAAGGGTTACTATATCGTGGAGCAAGTAGTATTTGGTAAATTAAATAAAATCATTTGTGAAACTATAAAATTCATGTTTGCCAGAATTGTTCCTACTTCAACAGGTGCGTTAAAAATATATAACCCTTCTGATGAAATACCCTGAATAATTTAGGACAAACATTCAACTTTACACATCATTATGGTATACACATCCTTATAGATAAGATTGCAGTTACAGAGAACATTAACCCTTTAGCTTCTAACGTTACAATATGAAGAAGTTTGTAAATAAAAATTTTGAATATCAATTTTAATTGCAGCTATACAATGTATTATAAAAGTGTCAAAGAAGAATTATATACAATATTTTAATAATTAATACAAAGGAAACATGACAAGGGGTTAATGTTATTTCAACTGTAATTTAACAAAAGCGTTCAATTGCTTTCACTTGACGTTACGTTAATAATTAACAGATTTCAAACTACGTAGCTCATTAGAAATATAATTTTAATTTAGCATCAAGATTTAAATTGTGAACGAATTTTAAATGAAACTAAACGAAAATTGAAATAAACGCATAATAACCATAGGTATGGAGCATGTTAAATAGATTTTTGTTCGATTTACAATTAACCTAAAGTGGTAAATGTAAAAGTACGAGATTTTCATTCATATACAAGATGTAAAATAAAATTCAGCATTGCACTATTAACTGAATTTCAATTAATTTTCTTTTTTTTATATACAATTGTTCTCTTAATACACTAATGTAATAAATTTTTTGTCAAAGTTAACGCTTTCAACCTTTTCATGTTGTACTCTTCAAAATTCTTCTTTTCTTCTTCACCTTTCTCTTATTCAATATGTATAACTATTCATAAGACTTTGTTTTGTTTGCAAACAGGACTTAAATCGTATCACATGACAGCAAAAATATTGTCACGATTTAAAGATCTCACATTGAAATCACAATAAAAATAAATTGACTCTTCAAAAGTTTCAAATTTATTTTCAGTTGTATTAAACATTACTAAATAGTAAAGTTCTCGTGATTTAATTTTTTTCTGGCAAATCAATAATTCAGTATACCATTGAATGTATGTATATATACAATTTTTTATTTATGATATATACAAAGGGCATTAATTCGATTTTTTCAACAATGATAAAGACAACATTATTATTAGATATAATTTTAGGTATAAAAGATATGAAATAATATATTTTTTTATACTAAATATTTATAGTATTGTCAATATTTGAGCCTAAGTTCATCTTTTATTTGTTCGTTTTCAAGAAGATACTTGAACAAATAAAACAAAGTCCTGAATTCTTTATAAAAGACACAATACAGTTTATAAGTATTCTTTGCAAAAGCAAAACGGTTATTAACAATATTCAGTTGCATCTTTGACAAAAATATTGTGTACCAAAATCGATAAAATACCGTGACAGTATTTTTACCGATATGCGACGGTTCTTATCATTTGGCCTGTTCCACCTTCAAGCAAATGTACAGTTCTGAGCATGGGTGACTTCTCTAAGGAAAACGATAACTTAGGGAAGGGGGCTAATATTAATAACTTCCAAGTTAAAACTTTAAGAACTATCACTTTTCAAATCTTTAACAATTTTACATGTAGAGTTTATTTACAATGCGTGGTACTTTTCAAGTATTATAACAAGTGGGTAGGTCCTCCTTATCCTATATATCCATCTTCGCGTTAAAGAAGCCCCATACTGTACTTTTCTAAAGTAATTGAATAAAAAGCAAAGACACCACCTTCGAACATTCAACAAAGTTCTGTATCTGCTTCAATTTCACAGCAAGCATCATTTGGCATGCTTCACTTTTTACCGGCGCATTATGTCCGCTATAGTGAATCCTTGTCTGGCAGGTGCGGGTCTAGGAGGCGGTGGAGGCTGTGGAGTAGGTGCTCTAGGAGGTCGTACCACTTCTTCTTCTCGTTCCCTATCTCTTTCCCTATCCCTGTTCTGCTCCATTTCTCGTTCTCTTTCTCTCTCACGTTCCTGGAGTTCCAAAAGCATTCTAGACGGTCCTGGTGATCCAATCCTTCGCCTGTACGAGGACAGGATTAATGGCGGAGGTGGAGGGAGTGGTGCTGGAGGATTTTGAGTGACCGAATGGCTACCAGTCCCTCCACTAGTCACTGTAGACGGCTTCACAGTCGGAAGTAGATCTCTTCTGATCTGCAGTTGAGGTCTCTGAGGAAGAGACGAGGAAGAAGCTGGAGCTGGAGGGGGTTGCGGTGGTCCTGATGATCCTTGAGGATAAGAGGCGTTCGCAGAGGCGTTTGGTAGAGAGGAATTCGTGGATACCGATGTGGAAGACGAGGATCCAGCTTCTGGACAATCCTCTTCGGGACTATCGTCGTCCCTGAGTGCTTCCTCGAGGGCCTCGGGTGGCACGTCGCCCACTGCATGGGTTAAAGCGTGCCTCCTGAGGTCGCAATTCCTGCGGAACACCTTGCCGCAAGAGGTACACTCGTACGGCTTGTGGTCCGTGTGGGTGAGGAGGTGGGTTTTCAGGTTACTGCGCTGATTGAAACTACGAGCACACACTGGACACTTGTGTGGAGACTCTTCCATGTGCAGGATCTTGTGCACGGCTAGGGTGCGGCTCTGGCAGAACCCTTTACCGCACTCGCCGCATTTAAAGGGCTTCTCTTTGCTGTGGATGTACCTGTGCAATGAGAACAAGATGTTAACGTTGTAATAAGAGAATTTCTATTATAAAAATTGTATCAAGTATCAAGTAGCACTATTGTAGTTTTATAATGACAAGAAAAATTCATCTTTTTCACGTCTCAAAATTACCTATGATCCCGCAGATGATCCTGTCTTCTGAAGGCTTTGCCACAAATATCGCAGGAGTATGGTCTCTCATCCGTATGGGTCCTTTCGTGAATTAACAAATTATACGACTTTGTGAATTGTCGATTACAAAATTTACAAATAAACTGTTTCTTAGGTCTGGAAGCTCTCCCCGGCGCCCTGAGGAGTCTCCTATCCAAATGCTGATGCGCCAAAGGACCACCAGGAGGGTACAAGGCTGAACCACCAGGGAAAGGACCAGCAAAAACCGGGTACCCAGGTGGTGGTTCCAAAAGAGGGGGTGGAGGAAGAAGAAGAGCTCTTGCAGCCAATTCCTTCCTCTTATCAACCATCATAGCCATGATTTCATAACTGGACGATGATTTTCTGGCGACAGAAGTCTCTGCGCCTACTTCATGGTCCGGATTGGACGCGGTCGATGAGGAAGGTGGTGGTCCAGTTAGGTGAGGGTGCATCTCCCCTGGATAGGGCGCCAGATGTAACCGCGAAGGCACGACAGGCACGAACGCGGACGATTCACGATGATGAGGATGACCCAGGCCTGCAACCAGGCCATGCCGATGGTGGTGATAAGCAGCCAGGGCGCTAGACGGGTCGAAACCCCTGGCGGTCGACTGCGCCGCTGATCCTGAGGATGATGCGCCTGCCGAAGAGGGAGCTGACCTTGACGACGGCCCAAGGCCCAGCTCTCGACCTCTGCTTGTCTCTTCCGAGATCGTGGCCGAGGCCGAGGCCGACGATGCCACGATGTCTGTCGGCATACCGATGACACCTGCAATTTTCATCGATACCAATGATGATAATTCTGTATTGACAGAAGATGCTACCAGATTTACTAATGAATTAACTTTTTCTTCAAGTACAATAAATTGATATTAAAATTAAATTAAAATTATAGAAGCTGTCGTTTCATGAGTAATACATATAATAAAATTTAATAATGAGGGACATTAGGTTTGAAACAATTAATAATTTAATTTTATATAAATATTCAGACAGTTTTTAATAAAATACTTTAATCATTATTCATCTTTCAACCGTATTATAGAAATTATTAAAAAATTTTAAAAATGAAATGATATAGACAGTAATATTTCGAGATACTTAACAACTTCTAAAAAGACTTTCATATCGTTGCAAAATGGTAACGTATACTTTGATTACGAAATGCCTTGGAAACGCGATTCAAGGACTTCAGTCGCGTTTTAAACGCTTCTTTCCCTTAACCTTCTAACTCTGCTTTATTCAACATCGTAATCAAAACCTAATTAGCGGCTTTAGAAAATAATAGTTAACTTTGTGGATAATGTCCTTTTTTCAATCATTTCTCTGGTAGTAAATCCACGTGACAAGGTTAAATGTAAACCATGTTAAACATATCCGCCATCTTGCTATTCATCCGTGACTCCCATTAAACATCAATGTGTATTATTTTCACCTAACAATTAATAGTATTATTCTTTGACTTTTCTCTTCATTTTTCTAATATTTTAAACTGAAGGCAGCTCTACATCAAATATTTCAAATAATCAAATAATTTTTACTATAGATCCAAATTGAACTGAATGTTAATAAATCTATCATTAATAGTTAATAATAGAGTCTTCTCTAGATTACATAGGAAGGATTCGTTGAATAGTATTTTTTTTCTCAATAATTACAAAATGCAGTATGATATAGAAATAAAAGTCTAATCAGACCCACAAGCTAAAGGCACGATAATCAACCAGCGAAGAAAGTTGCCTCATATATCTCATTTTTCAACCGATTCTTTGATAATACGTGGAACTCGCTCCCGTTTGCCAAGCCGCGTGCGTTCCACGAACGTGAACTGGTTATCTCGAGCCGAGCACACCTGCCAACATGGCTTCCGCGGACCCAGCGGTCACGGCTAGTCCCAGCGGCCATATTGGAATCGCGAATGCCCATAGGAATGCAACGAACGTGGAGCCCTTGTTCTCAAAGAAACTGAAGAAACATTTTAAAAAAATGCTCACCAGGGTAACGTCGACCGAGAATAGTTCCCGATCTCCCGTTTATTCACCTTCGGTGGTCCACCGTCACATCTCCGTCCGAGATGTATGATCCTGTCCAGCGACCACTGGCGGAAGCATTCGTCGCGACACCGATATCGGCTACATCGAGCCCTTAGCTTAAACCTTGAGACTCTGTTGGTCGTAGCTGGATCAGAAAAGCACCCGTAGTCACCCACGTAAGCACACATACACGGATTCGCACTGGCGACACACTGTTGTGAACCGCACGTATTTAGTTGGCTGATACACACGAATTTCTAACCGTATTCTTGAAACACTTGTGGTCGCGGAACGTATTATGGAATCCTGGAGAGAAATCTTCGGGACAGACGCACGTCCCTTCTTTCTGGACCATGGACACGAAGCAGCGCGCGGTTTACTGCGTGTTGGACGCCGCCAGGTAAGCTACCTCGGCGCACACCCACGCAGCCGAAGCACACGCATGGTCCACACGCACGGGGATACACAGGTAACAAACCACGACTTGCCTGGGAGTCTTTCCGTTTGGCTGCCGCTAGTAGCGCTGCTGCTGGATGCTGTGCTCCGACTCCGACTCCGACTGCCTCGCTCCTGGCCAACGCGACGCGACGCGACGCGACGCGACGGTGCAACGGAGTCCGATGGAACTGGCCAATGGTAGTCTAACCGAGACACAGGAGAACCTGGAGCAGGCTTTAGCGATGAAACTGACCCCGTTGCATACGTTGCCTTCGATGGAACAAGTTTTTCTCAAATTCCCTCAATCTTTCTGACAATCGCTGAACGATTTTATGGGAAATTTCTTAATCGAACCTATAAATCGTGGGATCTAATTTACCTAAATGGAAAGAAAGAGACTGTGAATGTATATTTATTCCAGTATATGTATTTACATACACCTCGAGGAACGTGTCTGCATAGTTTAGGCATGATTTGAATTTCATTTGCATCGAAACCGGAGTCGGTGGTGCAAACAGAAGTTAAAGCAATTTAGAATTGTTACTTTAACAAGAGATAGCAGGGACGAATGATATTTTGTATTGGATTACCATTTATGACTTGGGGGAATGATACTGTGTTAATACGTTGTTATGATAAAGTTAGATAAGTACCGGAAATGTACAAGATAGCGGCTGGTGTAATCAGATCAAACTTAAAATTCACAACACTTTCACAAAATTCAATTATACAGAATGGCATTTTACTGTTACCTTACATGCTTACACAACTCTAACTCCTCTAATGGTATACGGTAATGTTCGAATCCATCGCTAACAGAGACGTAGAGCAAAAGGGACCAGGTACGGTGGAGGGAGATCCACGGGTACTCTATCTACCCGTGCCTACGACGCGATGCCGCGCAGGTTGAACGCAGGAGGTTTAGGTAGGGACGTGGTATGAGGAACAGGTGCGTAATAGTAAGGCTTGGTGCCCCCTTGATCGATAAACACCGATCTCCTTTGAATTCGCTGCCCTTTCGACCTTCTGACTCTACTATCCCAATTCATCATTTTTCTCTATCACCATTGTGTTTGAAATTTTCTCAAAACTCTTTGTCATTTATATGTATACTTACACATTATATACCTACACTTAGAAAATGTAGTAAACTTAAGTTCACCCACCACCCCTCTTTCATCCCTTAGGACCAAATTGGCTGAATCTTGTAAGAATCCGCAGCGGGGGGTAGTCTTATTTATCGGAAAGGGGGACGGTGTCACGTTGGAAAGGCGGAAGGTAAAAAAATCGTGAGGCAGGTTGTAAGTCCACCTGTAGGAAAGTCGCGCGGCGCCGGCACTGAAGAAGGAGATCGGTTGTTGGTGGGCGGGAAGGGGAGAGGCCAGCGGCCAGAGGCACTCAGAGAGATCGAGCCTTGGTCTCCTTCGCTCTTTCATCCCTCTTTCCAGTCCGGTCTATCCCTCTCTTCCTCGGTAACGTATTTCGTATTTTTCTTTTTCTTCCCTTCTGCTGGCAGCAGCCGCCGACGCCCAGCCGGTTTTACACCAGCGAATCGATCCAATCGAGTGTCTCGGAAGAACGAAGCTGGTTCTAGTTCATGGATCGTGGATTTCGCTCCACTTGCCTAGAACAACCGGGGTAATTGTTCGTCTGGTCTCAGGGATCTGCTTGCGTCGATCACCGTACGCTTCCTCGTGACGATCTCGAGGAACAGGAATAGCTTGTCCGCGCGAGGAAAGAGAAGCGCGACCGTGAGACGCGTAGACGTTTCTTTCATTTTGCCTCACCTTTCGTTTCGTTTCGTTTCGTTTCGTTTCGTTACAGTGGCAACGTGGATTGCTGCAACAGTATACGAGTATTCCTTCTCAATCGAAACCGAATTGTCTGTTGGGAGCGAATTGGTTTCTCGGTCTCCGAACTGCTGGAAATTCCTCGTGTAGAAACGGGAGTATGCTAAGTGTTTACTTAGATTTGATTTAGGGACCAAATGGTATCTGTTGATCGGTCATGTTCAATGTGCAGGGAGCAATGGACTATTCTATGCATTAGATATATGTATGTATGTAACAACTTATAGGTACAACTAGTCAGTTTGAACAGGAGAATCATCCCCAAGTCCGCCAAGTCGGTAAACTCCTTATCTTCTGTCAGTAAATTATTCATTATTCGAAGAAATAGTACAATTAATCATTGATAAAATATTGCTAATGATTCTGAAAATTGAACTGATTAAGAATTCCACTGATGAACACGTGTTCCGTTTTATGATTACAGACTGTCCTGTTACATACTTCGTACATCTTTCTCGCGAAACTTGTTTATCTAATCGCAATACGAACAAGAATATACTGCAGGCTATCCTACAAATAACTGTCGTTAGAATTTTTTAACACTATACCTACAACTGTAACCTTATCTCACGATACGTTTTACAGTTACCTGTAGTTACCTCTCTTTCTTAAACTATATCTCCTTGAAGATACGCAGAAGAACTTTTGTAATTAAAAAACTCGTTCTATGTACCTAATTCCACTCACAAATGACTTTAGCATTATTCATAGTAGCAACAATTTCACACTTTTTCTACTCCAGCTATCACCAACTTTTCCATTTCACTTTACTTTCTATTCGCCATACAAAATGATGCTTGAAAGCATCTTACTAGTATAGACATTTCTAGTCAATTGCTGTAGTATCGATCGATAGATCACCCATCGAGACGACCTCCCGGCATGAATATTAAGACAAATTTTTCGAATATTGTAGACTGGTAGGAATGCTTCGATGAACTCACAGCGTGATCGAATCATTTTCTCCATCGCATCGCTTCAACGAAACAATCCCCCCTATTGATGCTCCATCGATGTTCATTAACAATTTTAATGTTCTGTGAATTTCTGTTCCGCGCCACGAGAAAGCGGCCGAGAATAAAAACAGACCGACTTAGGCCTGTGCAAACATCCAAAGATATTCTTGAGCTTCGTGATCACAGAAACGGAGCGTGATTCACTCGGACGCGGACGTTCTAAATTTCCGGTGAACGTGCTGAATGAAATTCGCCAAATGTCTTCAACTTTCACTCACTTTATCCTGATTTCAATTTCTCTAATCTAACATATTGATATAATTTATTCTAATTATTATTTTAATCTAAATTTTAATTTTAATTTTTCACATCCTTCCAATTAAACTTTAAAACAATTTCATAATAAATTATATTTATTATGCAATCATCATAATGGATTAATTGATGGTGAGCACTTTTCAAAAAGGTCCACCAATTTTTCCGTGTTTCGTGCATAAGTGGACGTCTACCTGCGGATGCATTTGTATTCACGAGCCGGCGACACGCAGTCGGGTGCAGCTTCGTGTAAACGCTGCAGGTACCTGCCAATGTGGACGAATCAGCTGCAGAGGAACGTTTTTATGCACCATCTCCGAGAGATAATGTAGTCGTTCTTTTCACTGCTCTCCTATACTACTCGATGCGCCGCCAAAGAGCCTTCTCCAACGCTTTTGACAAGCATTTTTACATATTCCTCTTCCTTTTTTTCTTTCATTTTTCTCCGTTCTCTTAATGGATCGATTAGAATGAAAATACAACTCGAAACGACGCGTAAGAGAATAGAAAAAAAAAACGATTATGTTGATGAATGAGGTAAGCTAAAATTTCTTTTTTTTCTCTATATTGTTAAAAAATTTTATTCTAGCAATTTTCATAAACACTTTTTGCAAGTAGATTTAAAATTTTGAGAATAAAAAATAGTTTATTTTTCAACTGATTGAGAAATGTGATACAAAATGGTACAAAGAAACGAAACATTGACGAATTGCTAGAGAGAAGAGTACGATAACGGTACGCAGTGACGAATCTTTTCCTAAAAGGCCCATATACCAGGGGGAGGTCAACGTGAGAAAAAAATGTAACTTCGATGACAGGTATTTTACATTTAAATATCGGAGCAAGTCGTGGTACTCAGATGCAAAACACTATGTCGCACGTGATCTCCTGTCTGACAGCAGCCCATACACCAACGTAGAGACTAATGATGGAGTTGAACAACATTCTCGGACTGTAATACAGTCGTAACTCTTGATGGAATAATTAAGTATTATTCAGAATAGCTGACAACTTTTAACTCGAACTTTGCTCATTTATTCCAAAGTGACCTAAAAAATGAAAAAAAAAATATTGTAATCAGGGGTTTTGTGATTCATAGATATAATAGATTTAGGGGTGATTTTTTGGAATTTTCATAACGATATTTTTCATTTTTATATTGTAAACTTCATACAAATCTAAGGAAAATTGTGCAATCATTAAGAGATATAGATAAATTTTGTAATAAATGCAAATCAAAGTGTAGCACTTCCGGGGAGGTCAGAGGAGTCAGTTTGTGCAAGTTTTTAGAGTCAGAGACAGGGTCGAGGCGTTGCTACATCGCAGCGTGCAACTGCCTCTCGTTTCGTTTTGTTAACTGAACTAGTTCCCTCTCCTCTTCCGTTCAAGTCCATTCTGCCACTACCACCGAACGCCATCGCTCTACCAGCACACGTTATCAAGATCACCACTGTGCTGGAAGCTGAAGAAGGATCTGGCGAACGAGTCTGAAACGACAGAGAGGAAAGACCACTGGACGAAGAAGCACCGCATCTCTCGACTTTCACAGAAGATTCCATCGAATTTAGGCTGGTTACAGAGAATTACTTTTTTCGGAAATGCCCGTCGGATGTCTGGGAAGGTGGTTGGTAAATCTGCAAGGATCTACTATCGAGTATCGTTTAAACTTTCATCGGAGACGTGTCAAACTAACTGAGACCAGGATGAACTTGATGGAATTTGTGAATTAAGCGACGTTCACAATTGCATGATCCATTAGAAAACATTTGTCAAGAAAAGCATAGCAAATAATAAAAAGAGAACAGGTCGAAACAAGAAAGAAGTACAAGAACTGAAAAAAAGAATGCTTCACAAATGAAAGCCTTTTAAAATATATGCACGCCTTTTGCTTGATAATTTAAGTTCCAAGAGAGATCAAGAAGAAGAAGAAGAAGAAGAAGAAGATGAAGAAGAGGAGGAGGAATGGGAGGAACGAGATTAAGATTAAGATTAAGATTAAGAATGTAGACGATAAAAAGAACACAAAGAATGTAATTAAGGAAGTAATATCATAAAATTTTAGTTGTACAATAATGAATGGTTTCAATGCGTTTAAGTCTTCGTTCGAATGAATTTTAGGGAGGTGGAAAAAGAAGGAATAAAAATGAAGAACCAAGTAGAAAAACGATGAGAAGAACAGTGAAAACAAAGAACGAGAACGTTGACCACGGTAAAATAACAAAATAACATTACATATGTACGTTTCACGGGTGTGCAGTTTCTCTGAATGGAGAGTTAACGAAAAGAAAACAATGAGAGGCAGGAGCAGAAGAAGAAATGGACGGCCAGGCAGAACTAAAAGGAAGGAAGGAAGGGCGGGGAAATTAAAGAGAGGGGTGGAGGGGTTCTCGCGAAACTTCAAGATAAATACATGCACCAGTCGAAGGAATTCGAAAAAGGCAAAAACGAGGGCAAAATGAATTAAGAGTAAAAAGAAGATGCAAATATAAGAACCAGTCAAAGACTTGGAAGTTTCAGAGATTTTTCCTAAAATTCAAATAAAAGCAGGTGGACATCAGCTTTTTATCTTGTTGAAGAAATTTAAGTGAGAAGAAGAGAGCTGAGAGGTAGGCAGATAACATTGGCAAAAGCAACAAACTCGTTAAAAGGAAGGTGACAAAAATTGAAACAAAATAAGGATCAAAAGGTAGAAAGCGTGGCAACCATCATTGAAATACAGGGTGTCCAGAAGATTATGGCAAAACGATCCAAGCTTGCAAAACGTATCAAAGATATCCTTCCTTTTAATAACGCGGAAACATGTTACATGTGTATGTGAGTACTCTTGCAATGATATTACCACAGTATCGATCGAGCATCAAATTATTGTTAAAAATTTAAAGTAATGATTCTTTGCATTAACTTTAAGGCGTTCGTTGAATGATAATCACTTGATTAGCACCAGTGTTGGTCGCCGTGGGGTTTTAGTCAGTAGGAATCTGACACTCCCCCGCCGCCCTCTTCCAGGGGACGGTGGGGGGTCTTATGCAAGATTTCCCCACGTTAAAAAAAAAAAAAAAAAAAAAAAAATCCTTTACATCTCTGCTTTCCTTACATCCCTGTATCCCTAACATCTCTGCATTCCTTACATCCCTGCAACCCTTACATCCCTGTATCCCGTACATCCCTGCATCCCTTACATCCCTTACATCCCTGCATCCCTTACATCCCTGTATCCCTTACATTCCTGCATCCCTTACATCCCTGCATCCTTTACATCGCTGCATTCCTTATGTAAGCATTCCATTATAGCACCTCCTGGTGGTAAAAAAAGTAACTAAAGTTTGCCGAAATTTTGGCCCTCCAGCGGGAAAAATGTGAACTAAAATCTCGACATCGAATCAGCGCCATCTGGTTTCAAAAAAAGGAACTAAACCTTGCCGAAATTTTGGCCCTCTAGCGGGAAAAATGTGAACTAAAATCTCGACATCGAATCAGCGCCATCTGGTTTCAAAAAAAGGAACTAAAGCATGCCGAGATTTTGGCCCTCTTGCGGGAAAAATGCGAACTAAAATGTCGACGTCGAATCAGCGCCCTCTGGCGGCAAAAAAGGGAACTAAATTTTGCAAAAATTTAAATTAAAAATTATTTTTCACAAGACTTTACTTACCTTTACTTATCTTTACTTACCTTTACTTACCTTTACTCGAACCAGTGGCCATTAGTATTTTTTTTATAATATATTATTATATTTATAATATATTTATTATAAGGGTTGAAAGGATAGAAGAGATGCAGGGAGAATTCAAGAGTGTAAGGGATACAGGGATGTTAAGGATGCAGACATGTAAGGGTTGGGCCTCGTGAGACAAAAAAATAATAAATAACTGGGAATAAATATTGTCTATGAAATTATTGTACTCTTAATAAAGAAAATGTTCATTCATACATGTATCTCTGTAGTACAGATATCTTAATATCAAACAGAAAATAATTAATTTTGAACAACATGTGTTCAGTGTGAATGTAGCTTCAATGGCCAGCGAAGAAGTTTCAAGAAGAAGGACAAAGAAGCCAGGAAGAAGAAGATGATGAAGGAAGAGCAGTGGGTAAGGAGCAGAGGAAAAGGAAAAGGAAAAGGAGAAGAAACATGGTCTCGCAGCGTGCACGGATCTCAGAGCATGGAGAACACGAACTGGCCGCCGCATCGCATACCTACACGACGCGTAATGAGAACATACCAACGTCGTTCGGCCTGCTATCTGTTATCAAACGGATACCACCGGTTCAACCTCGGATAAACCTTGTACCGGGCCCTTAGCTAACTTAAATTTGTTTTACACCTCGCCCGGCACCGGTTAGATTTTTGCTATGGATGGTCTTTCTATTTTCAAAATAATGACAACTAATTTTACTAATTATTTCTATAATATTTCAAAAATTAAAGAGAGAGTAGGTACATGGAAAGTGCCACCTGGTGGTTATATTATGGGAAGAATTATCTCTTTCTAAATCATTAAACGCTATGAAAGTTGGAAATTTGAAATGAATGCAGATATGTATACGGATAGATCGGTAATTTATACGAATTAATAGATAGTATCACAGGTACAGCGTAACAGGTATCAGGATGGAATTGCGTATCGAGTTCGGAAACCGACTAATAATCTTCGAATAGCCTTTCGAATTCCATTGCGAAATTACACGTCTCGATCTTGAGAGTCCGTTACACGAATACTCGGAAACAGTTGGCAGACAATTATTATCAATTTGAAACCATGGGAATGGTTGTAGAAAGGCTGACAATGAGCATAATAGTTTCTATTGTTACAGCTTTCAATTTAGATATGCAATTGAAAATAAGAATTAGATTAGATTAGAATTAAGATTAGAATTATGTACATATATTGTACGATTTTCTTTTTATTATTATATTGTATTATATTTAACATAAGAATAAAACGGTTTGCATTATAAAGTCAATGAAAAAATACCAATATATTTTTTAACGACATTTATTACAAGAAATCTATAGATTGGTTTAATCAATTGATTTCCAGTTTTGACACTAGAAAGACGGACACGGTTACATTTGACCCTTTTGTACTTTAGCGATCACTCTAATTCTATCTTATTACATCAATATTGTAATCTATCATATGCATTTTACAAAAATTTCCTCTTATGTTACTATTAAAATGATTTCAACGCAATGAAGTAAAATGTCTTTAATTATATATAAATTATTTTTAAGTTTGCTAAAATATTATAATTTATTAATTACTAATAATTGATTTATTCTCAAAGTATCCAATTTTAAGGATTTTAAAACAAAAGAAAGAAACTAACGAATAAGCAATTGTTCTTTCAAAATTTAAAACAAATGTCAAGGTGTTATTTGGTCAAGGAAAGCGACCGTTGTCCGACTTTCTTGTCATCAAGATGATTCTCCTACCAGCTTAAAACACTGCATCATCTAAACAGCGATAAAACCAACGTCCTTCAAACCAGTTCGAAGGGTGACAGGTAAATAATTGACGCATTTCATTCTACAATTGTATTAAACCTCCTATTTTATTATCTGTGCTTTTGAGCGGTCTGTCGTTAAATTTCGCGGTTCTCTCGTGTCGCTATCGAAGCTCGTCCGATAATGTCTCATTATCTCTTTTCTTTCGTTGCTACTCCGTATTTTTCGCATAATTTGTCGTAATCGAACCGACGCGACGCGACGCGACATGCGTTTTATACTTTCATCGTTCGATCGCTCCTCCTTCTCGTTATTCGAGAAATTAACACGACTCTTTGATTTTTCGTTTTTCTTCTTTTCCTTTCCTCCTTATCGAATAACGATACAGTCGCAGCAATTCCATAGACACTCGCATAACTGATAAATTGATAACTGATTAGGTAATAATTCATTTTCATTGTTATTCAATGCTTGCAGTTTCTTGGCTAGAAACGTATTTTTAATTTAATGGAGTGGTCATTATAATCATTTGAATGAACCGTCAACCATCCCAACAAATTATCATTCGAATAAAAACTATTCTTGTACAGCTGTGAACGACGAATTTATCTAAAATGTGCGTACTGTTTTCAAATATTAAATCTGATCCTCCTTCATCAGTATCTTATATGTATATTAATATTCTATGCACATCACCTTCTTAACTTGGCTTCGTTTCTCTTTTTTTTTTTTTTTAATTAAACTCACACGATACTTTACTTAAGGGTGTCAATTTACTTATATGTATGTATGTATATCGTCTTTTATTTCTATTTCGAAAGTTTGTTTCTTCTGAAGGAAAAAAATTCTAAATTGCCCACAATAAGTAGAATGACCCCTTAAAATAGTAGAAGAAGCATTCCTTTTGAACAACAGAAAAATCGAGTTCACAATTATTGTTCTTCGACTTTCCCCTTTTGATGTTTTCTTCTTCGCACTTTAAACACTTTAAAGTAACGAACGTTACAATAGCACTTAACATAGGATCTATTCTTGAACACTGAACCACGCTTGTTCAAACTATAAAATACAAATAATGTGACGCTTTAAAACACCTTGACTTCCATGGACTCCAGTCCATGTACAATGGACTTTTTAATACTACATATATTAATTGTGGAAGGTTGAAGTAAGTGAAACGGTTGAATTAAAAGCTGAACTAATTGTATCTTAAATGATTGCAATTACAGTTTTCCATTATTGTAAGGCAGTCAATATGTAATAACCCTTACCTTATTACTGATGACTATGATTTAGAAATGACAATTGATTGTTTTCTATGTAGAGTAACAAGGTATATTTGCAAAGTATTTTTACCTTTTCGATTGATTTATAAATTGCACTTGTATCCAAGTACCATAAATGAAATCCTTTGGTAGTCAACGTGTTAAACAGCATCAGGTTGGTTATTTCGGGCTTACAAGGTGAATGTTTGTATTGAATATTTGTGGAAATTCGTGGAAACGCAGTGGACGACCTTTAACCTTCTTATATCTAAATCGGACCCTATATTAAGAAAACCGTGGGTATGTTTCTAATTAATACAAGACACAATCGGTGAATCAACGATTCTCAGTTTTGATGTTCGACATTTGTCAAATATGATTTCAATTCTTCCTTACAAAGTTTTGTATACGTATACGGATACGTATATAAATTCTGAACTAAATAACTCTGAACAGTGAACGTGTTAAATCTGTGTCTGACCAATTACCGTCAACGACTACTTGAAGCAGCGTTTCTTTCTTGCTTTACTGTAAGAAATTAGTACATGGTATAGAGAAGTTATTGTATAATTAATATATATTATATAGTATTAGCCAAAAGTTTGTAAGTAGTGCATGAATTAAAAAAACAAAATAAAAAAAGCAGCCTTTGGACTAAAAAAATTTTGTACTCATTAGAAAATAAATAATATTTTTTAACCCAGCAAACCATTAGGTCAGGCTTCACAAGGAGAAGTTCTTGCCCTTTCCCATAGGCATCCCCGAAGAGAATAACGATGTAGGGCACCACTTGCATGTGGTAAAGGAAATGAAAGAATATTAATTGTATTTCCTTAAAACATTAAATTTAGGAAATGAAAGAAACTTTAGATATTTAATACAGTGACACTTTTATACAATATATCAGATTAAAAACTTTGTACTGTTACACGATTGAATAATGAACAATAACAACACTCGAGGAGGTGACTTTTTAAACATTTTGAACAGTATACAATCATATACAGTAATACCTATTATAAAATATTTACTTTCATACAAATCAATAATATTCAATTCCAGTATTGCGTCTTTAAAGAAATCATTCTTTTGAGAAACGTTGCTTGAAGTATTATAATTGTATTAAGAGTATACCTACTTAATTTTCGCTAAATGCAATATTATATTAGAAATTATTATAAAATAGCATTATCAATATTAAGACAGAAAATTTGCAAACTCTAATCAGAATTATTAACAACAGTAAGATTTATGAAATTTACAATATAAATATTTAGAAGAGTGACAAAACACACAGCAGAATAATTGCAATTCATATAATACAATAATAGACAATAATTTTTACAGAAATTTGTACAAAATCCAAATAGTCAATCTTTGACTATATCCTAGTGAAATTTGCAATCATAATTCATTCAATCATAAATATTTCAAATGATTGTAATAAAAATCTGTGGCTGCAAATTAATAATATTTTAATTATTTAAATGTTCAGGAAAATTCTTTTCTTTTCTTTTCTCAATTCAATAAATATTTTTCTCTATTTTTCTTAAAAATGATTATTCAATTTTCATATAAGGATAGCATTATGAGCTTTGTTTAAATTATAAATTTAATTTATAATTATTTTGGCAGATATTTGGCACCTCTGTTTCTCGATGATACCGATAATAAATTACAAAGGATGTAAATTGTCGTTACAAATGAATCCGACGAAATGTTCTAAACAAAAGTTTAACGGATTCTATTATAATGACGAAGAATTTCGAAGAACTGCGAATTTGAAGAGCATTTGCGACATGATCCACGTGATGCATTTGCGAACGACAATCGAAGCGACAATGACGACAGTGATTGATGAGTTTGTGATTTGCGACAATGTTCGTTAGGAACCGGAAACATGAAGAGACGAAGGACACCTTAGGGGATCTTCGCTGCTTCGGCTTCTTTGCTTCTTTGTACGGTAAGTCGGCCTTTGTCAACCAATCTTTATCCATCGATCGATCGAGTATTCTAGAGCTGCCAGCCATCTGGAAATTACAAAACGGTATTAATAATAAAAATTATTGACACCTATACAGCTTGAATAATTTCAACTTTGTAGAAATTCTACATTCTTACCGTTTCTTGTCCATTTCGGACTCCGTAGCAAAGATATAACTTCTCTGCGTGGGATCCGGTGGCTGCAATTCGAACGCGTGTTTCCTACCACCGGAAGTGGCCGCACTGCTGTGCACCCTGAAGCCGTGAAGACAGGCGACACCGAATGCTTTCTCTGCATTAGCGTCATCGTAGAAATATAATGCTGCATCCTTCAATACGCAATATCGTCTGGACCAACCAGTTGGTGAAGATGTTTTCCTCGCGTGTTCTTGTTGCTTACTCAGATAACCAAAACAGTCTGGTCTTTGAATGGCGCATGCTGCCATTTCACGCATCCTCATCGATGCTTCCAACCATGTATCCACCTGAATATCGTTAAAAGCACCCGAACAAATTTTTCATTGATTTGATTGTTCTAGTATTAATGAAATATCTATAAGTAAGTTTCAAGCTGATACGGTTGCAAGTGCCATGTCAGACTTTGTATCTTTCGTAATTCGCCACTTGATATGCAACAGCCTAATATATCCAAACTTTAATCTAGTTATTCTAGCAACTCCTACAACAAGATCAGTGAACTTAGTAGTTTAAAACAAACCCTATTTTCAGTCTCAAACTTTCGTCGTTTCGTTAAATTCTGGAAACTTGTTTCACGTAAGTGGTAGAGCTATACAGAAAAGTGGTTGGAGCTACAGAGTGGTTCATAAATTTACGTTAATATTTCACAGATAAAAAAAATATACATATATGTATACCAAAGAGGCATTCGAGCCTCCAGAAATCTTAATTCGGTCCTATTTGTGACAAGTTATTAAAACATAGTTTTATTTTAAAACATAGGACCGGATAACTTTCTCGCTGTTGCTCGCAGCATTTACCTGATCGTTTCTCTCAATGGCTTCCTTGATGACTGTCGTCCATCGGGCAGCAGCTTCCTCGGAGTCGGCCGCGAGTCGAAGTGTCGGTGCACCCTGTTTCTTTATCGCAAAACTCTGTAACCTCAGCTCCGGTGTTTGTTCCACCTCGTACTTTATCAGCATTACTGCCCCCACTGGCTGTGAATCCTGTGGAACCGTTCCTCGTGTAAACACTTGTCATCTCGATGGATGCAATTCGCGAGAAAGAATGGCAGTTAAATGGCTCGAGCTCGAACCCGAACCGGAGGCGTGGCGGCCAACTTTTTTTTTATTCTGATTAAGGACAAGCTCAGACAACTTGCACTCTTTAGTAAGTACTTACAGGGTTATTCAAAAAGGATTCTTGTAAATTTGCTTCATGAATATTACATGTGATAAAAATTTGCAAATAACAGTTTATTATCCTTACTAACCGCATCAGTCTTGTAATAGTAGAGGCAGTTATCACGTCGCAGAGCAAACCATCGTCGGACCCATTTATCGGTATTCGTGGAGGTCGCCGATTTTCTCCAAAGGTAACCGGAACAGAGTGGTGCCTCATCGGTGTCTTCTTTCGTTCCAGGCCTGACCATTCTCGGTGCCAGGACGTTACAGGTTCTCGCCACCTCCAATTCTAGTACATCGGTGCCAGAATGTGCTAGCCTGACGACTTCCGAATGAGTCGCGTCCATAACGCTTTTTCCATTCACCGACATGATAATATCGCCGACTTCAAGGCCTGAACTCTCCGCCGGTGTATCAGGTTCAATGGCGGAAACCACCACCGGTTTCGAGCCGTGAATACGGAAACCGAACTCTCCTCCAGCCTCGCGTTTCACTACCACCCTCTTGTCGCATTCTGTAATTATTACGACCTCTGTGTTATTCATTGATTATTGTACCAAGGAGAACTGTGAAAGGGTTTTATTGGGAGCTCCGAGACAAGGAAATGTCTCCTCTGTTCGCGTTCAATCGAATAATGGAATCGCGAATGCTTGAATCCACGAAAGTAATCGAATTACTTGTTAGGATCGTTATAATTTTCTACACCATGTGTGCTATATATGTACACTTAAAATCCCATCTTTACAAAGAGATGAACAATCATGATTAAAAAAGAATAGAATGTTGTTTCTGTTGCTACTTCCATCAAATCACCCAATTTCCAACGTTTCTTATACAGTTATTTTTCTTACCGATTACATTTTTTCAGATGAGTTAAGCAACGTCGTCGAACTTTCTGCTAGAATTTCGCGGTTATTTTTGGAATCTGCAGTCACGCAATAAATCATACGCCAAGAAACGGAAGTTTATACAGAGTTTTCTTTACGGAGGATCAATGGTAGTCCCCGTTTGTTCCAATTTATTTTCACAGTTGCTCAGTCTGATTATTCCTCGATGTCACACGTGTTACATATATGTATGTATACATACATATAAGAAAAAATGTTAGTTCTTTCAAACTAACAATGCTCTATGTATTTTACAAAATATTATACTTAATATAAGAATATTAACAAATTGGTAGGTACATAATTTGTAGAAAGAAAGCAAAATAAAAATTTAAATAAAAAACAACTTTAATACGTTAAATAAAAAATTCCTAATTGGTATGAGTGTGAACAGAGAAATGGGGTGAGTAGCGGAATAAATCTGATTTTATTTATAGCTGCTTTGTCAGTTGCAAACTTTCTAAGCTGTTTTTTAATAGACATTATATACAAAAGCAAAGTTTTAATAAAAAATCTCATCAGTTTTAAGTTATTATTTATCTCCCCAATTAACTATTTTTAATTATGTCAATTTTTATTAATTAAAAACAATATTTATATTTTATTTATATTGTTACTACAACATATTTATTTTTTAAGTACCAATGTACACTCACGTTGCTTGAAAATGATCGATTACTGGGATATTTAAATTAATAAATAATTATTTACCTTTGCTTCTCGTTTAATTATTTACTTTAGAAATGAAGTTTTATTTCAATTACAAATTCTCATGAATAATGGATTCATGCAATCGCTTTTCCACGTTTACCAATTCCACAGTTTATTTCTTGATTACATTTCTTGAATACATCGCATCGTATTCTGATTAATCGTTACCTGATTATTAATCGCCCATGTAAAAACAACAAAAATACACCATGTTTAAACAATTAAATAGGGTATTCATAAAGTTTCACGATTTAAATTCATAATATTGATCAGTCTCGTTCGCCAAGTTTTTTCCAGAGGTCTTACTCACTCTATACTCTATAAGCAATATTTTTAAACAAAATATCACTGGCCCCACTTTCCTCGTTCCTAAACCTTCACCTTCCATTTACTATGACAATTAACATGACTACAATTATGACTATGGATACGCAATAAGAAATAAAAAGGGGGTAGGAATCGTGGAAACTTATTAAACGAGGTCGAAGTGCAGGCAAAATAAAAGCAGGTCGTGCCGAAGTTAGTCAGGTACGCATCAGGCCATAAAAATAAGTGAGTCCTTGCGTCACCAAGCTTCAAACGTAATCGACTGTGTTCATGCTTAGTCTTTTGTCTCATCATCGTTTGCCCTGCTGACAGAGAACGATAGAGAGCTTCTTTTATTTTTGCGATAAAGGAGCCACTCGCATTCCTGTCAACCCCTTTCGCAGCTGGTGGCAGAAATAGCGAAAATTACTTTGTCATCTTTTTCCTGATATCCTCTTCGGGCGGAAATTCTCGCTCGTGCGACGACAGCATTCCAAGGTTACTGAGACTCATTGGGGATGACTGTTATGGTAATTATGGATTTTAACCCCTTTCATATAACGTCCATTTTGCGTTAGTCTTAAATTGATTTTCTATACTTGATCGATAGTGACTAATCATTAAGACCAATTATGAAAGAAAAAAAAAAAGCAGGAACTTATAAAACATTGTTAACAAAATAAAATTCATATAAAATGTTAATAAAATTTTAAATATTCTCCCCTGATGGAGATTATTACCTAATTGTACGGGTCATGTCCGATGTAAACTAATTACAAGTAAGCTTAAACCACCGTTGATGTGGGAATCTAATTTTAACGCCATTAAATTGATACGCACCGCGGACAAATTTGGATGAAACAGGCGCACTTGGTCCGATGTTGTTCAATGTCGTAGCAACATCGATAAATTGGTTACAAGATGAAAATCGTATTTCTAAAGAGGATATTTTCGTGCGGTTTCTTCACGGTCAGCAGAAAATAATTAGCCTGCGTTACGACCGTGACTTCGTTCAACAAACTGTTACTAGGTTGGAATCATGATTTTCTTTTGACAATGAATCGTATTGAAAAAATCATCGAACGAAGAAAATAATTAAGAAGCGAGATTCTCGAAAAGCGTGCCAGAAACCACGAGTTCATCCGCCTAGAGGCAACAAAAGCAGAATGCATCGCATCGCGTCGCGTCGCGTCGCGTCGCGTCAGACGGAAACCAAGAACAGTACAACCAAGTAGTCGAGAATCACGAGACAATGAGAGAAAAATTTTACCGTGGGTCGATGCGCCCAGCCTGGTGAGGGCTTGCCCTTCCCTGCACCAAACTCTGAGCATGCATTTCAACAGCTCTTCCAAGGCTTTTTTCAAGGACACATCCGCTCCAAGTTCCGTGGAATACTCGGAGGCCGCGCAATCGCACACCATCGCGAACGGTACACCGCGACACCTTCCACCGCGGGAGCACTTGAACTTCCGGTTGCACCGTTGCAAAAGAAATACACGCGCCGCGGAACGCGGGAATCGCGAGAAAATGCTCGATCTTCCGAAGAGGATATCTACGGACGGCCCATGGAATGCGACTCGACGCCCTGACCCACTGACTGCCAGCCAAAAGCTTCTTCCACTCACCACCCTCCTACCCACCTTCTCATCCAATCCTCCCAGTATACCCGACGCTCATTTTCCCCCTCACCGATACAACAGTTCGTCTTAACTTTGCTTCGGATATTTAGACGGCCGCGAATCGTCTAATGGGCCGGCCCTTTTCATATACCATAATATTGTAAAATATGTAGAATATATATATAATTATAATATGTTTCTGGACGATCCTTCGGATACTTCGATGGGGATGCTGATGAATGGAATGCGAAGTATCTGGAACGAGGCGGAAACGATGTTCCGGAGGAACGGAATTTTCGTAAATTGCAAGCGGTAGGTAATTAGGAATGGGTTTGCTTTGAATGAGTCCAGTTGGAGATAGTTACTACTGTATTGATTTTGTAAAGAGTTAGAGTTAGAATAATAATGAATAATATGTAATTAATAAATTGAAATTTATTAAACGATGTTACGAAAGTAATGAAAACGTTAGCGTAACGCTTTTTCTAATCAAGCAACGTAAACTACTCGTCTCACATGTGGCTGGTAGACGCCGGCGTCGGTACCAGTCGACGCTTAGCGTCTCTTTCTCTCAGCTGCGCCGTTTCGATTATATTTAGCCAGAGTATTACGCGGTGCTTATTTAAAGAAACGGGAAGAACGATTCCCTCTTTTTTCCCCTCCCTTTTCCGCTTTCCCTTTCGACACGCTTTTCCTCCGCTGTTTCTCTTTCTCTTTTCTCTTTTCATCGTGAGAAAAAAGAGATATCGGGAACGATTTCTTTGTCGTTCGAAACATTCTTCGGTGATGCGTCGCTACGCGAGTAAATTTTAGTTACCTCTCAGTTGCCTTTCTGTCGGGAACGGAATATCTATGTTTCGTAGTATGCTTTGTACTCCCGTCATCTGGTTCCTACTTTGCTTTCCGATCAAAATTCTCTTGGTCATTGGGACTGATACACTAGACTGTTTTACTGACGAATATTGGCCCATACTTAGCGTCGGATCAAGGGTAGTTTTAAAGAGTAAATATTTCTGCTCCAAACATTTTTAATTACTAACATTAAAAACACTAAAATAATTCCTTTTATTATATCACATTTAATATTATTATAAGTTTAATTTAATCAAATGGCATTATATGTAGATTTAATATATTTTTACTGCATTTTTAACATAAGGATTTTCAGTTCGATAAACTCACGTTTTCCTCGCTTTATTCGTCCAATATATTCTTTTATGACCGATCTTCTTCTTTATTACAAATATCTTGGGAGACATTTATATGCAGCCTATGTCATCTTCGTAGGATTACAAACACCCTTCCAAGCTTCGCATTTGAGAGCATAAATTTAGTAGCAGCTTCGAGCTGTTGTGTATATCTCGAGGCAAATTTAGCGAATATTTATGCAAACATGGAATTACATTCACTGATAATACATTACCACTGTCGCTAACAACTTTATCTACACTTCCTATGAATTACGTGATAGTTAAATTTAAATAAAAGAAAAAAAAATTTCATCGGGATATATGTATGTAGGTAACATTTTCCAACCACAACGTCGCCGGATTAATCACGGACCTACTCTACTGTATTGGAAACAAATAAATGCTTCAATTACAACTGGATGGGTTTCTCTTTTTTACAGATGTTATCCGGTTATTTAACAGACACATTGTGTACTGCCGACGTTAAGTGAAAACAAATAATTCTTCAGCAAAGTGTAGTAATAGCTGTCATTTAATTGTCATAATTGTCACATCAACTTGAAGAGCAATTGATTCTATGTAAACTATTCTTGATACTCGTTAAACGTTACTGTTAAATATAGTTCACTAACGATAAGTGGGGTGTATTTAAAACGGTGATATCCACGTGAAATGATTGACGTACCACTCGAAAAGCATCAGATTTATTTTAAACCAATCTCGAGAATTAAATTTAATATTATCATAATGCTAATAAGGTCCTACCTCGCAATCATGATTGCGTCACTGAATTGCAATATAAAATAATAATCCTTTTAGAATTTCAATTACATTTATCTCGAAGCTTATATTTTTATTTTATATAAATTAAAAATGATCGTATAGGTATGATCAAATAAAAATTTATCGATTTTAGATACATTTATACCTATATTCGCTATATATTTAGAAAAAATGTAGCCTTCGTTTAAGAAATGGATTTCAAGGTTTGCAAAATATTCATAGAAATCGGGACCGATTTCTTCGCGATCGATTTTTTATATATAATATGTATAAATAGACGAGGAGAATTTACAAAGACTGGTGAATATAAGTATTAATTTTTTTTTTTTTTATACTTAACTGTTAAGTTAAATTTATCAAATATTTCAAACGGATTGTATTTATTTGAAATATAATTATTTAAATCGTATGGTTTAGTAATGAAATAAAAAAATTAAAAAAAAAAAAGATTAACTTACATGAGCCAAATGGATTTAATTTTTGACTGGAATCACTTAAATCATACAATTTTAGGAGGGTGGTATAATTTTGAAACGTACTGTACCATTTCACACCGCTAGGGGATGTTTGGCGAACTGTGAAAGAAGCAATAATAGGATAATGTAGTCCAACAACTTACCGAAACTCTTCGTTTGTATCCTCTTATACATTTCCCCGCTGCTTTTCCGATGCACCATCCTGTGCGTCGCCGCCTGATACTTCTTCCGAAAGTTTCTCTCGCTTTCCGTCGATTCCTGAGAGCTTCTCCTCTCTTTAGCGACACTTTCCGGAATCTCATCATCGCCGTCCCTGCTGTCTGGCCTTTTCCACACGTGACTCTCTTCGAGGTCACCGATGTAAATCCATTCGCTACTCGTGTAGGGTTCCACGTAGCTGTCCTCGTCCTCTCGGCCTGACATTAAATGAAATAAATGAAAAAATAACATTGCCATGTCAGAGTGAAAATTCACTTGGATGGCTTGAGAAAAAAGATTTTGTTCGTTTTTATTCTGAAATTTATTAAGCCAGAGCAGTTCTTTTAACCCTTGGATTATGCACCGGTGCACTGAATATGATTTTCATATTTTAAATTTTATTATAGAATATTTCTTTTATTACTATTTTTCATATAGGTAAAGATTAATCAAAATTCAATTTTCTAATTAAGGAAAGAATTTCTAATTAAACGTGGTAATATAAATAAGCAAATAAAGGAAGTCAATACATAAAATTGTAAATACGCTGTTTGCTCCTCCTTTACTGATTTTCATTGGACTTTAACGAACAGGGAAACGACTAATCACCTTGAAGGGAAGTAAATGGGTCCAGCGAGAAGTGGAAAACTTTTTTAATGAACGTCACTGAATCCACTCGATTTCTTTTTTTCTTTTCCTTTTTAAACCCTGTTTCATTACGTAACTTTTTTTTGCAACTGTATTCATTTTTATTTATATAATAATGGATTCTTGCGACAGGATACGAACACAGTTTATATATATACATATATATTAAAATTTTTCAAACCGCCTCTCTGTGGTGCATTAAATCTAGTTCTATAATGCCATATTTCCTGGGAAAATGTAAGAGACAAAAAGAAATTATTTTTCCTAAAATTTTCAGACTTTAATTAAATATTTTGTATCATTTAATGGAATAATCAATATCGATACGTAATTATATCATACGGTAAAATTTAATTATCGTTAAAGTGATTGAAAAGGTGTCCCCTATTTGGCATACCTATTTAAAATTACACGTGTAAGTGACATCGTTTATAAAATAATTTAAGCGATTACCTAATTAATTACTTAATTAATACTTACCCGTAAGGATTTCCAAACTGACATCCGTGCTTCTCGCATGAAGCCTCTTCCTCCCAGCAGCAGTTTCATCAATGGATCCTCTGCTTCCGCGTCTGGAAGCGATCCTCTCTTCAGACTTCGCCCTGACGTCTGATCTGCCCGCGCTGCTTCGTCGATGCCTTCTGTCGCCACGATCCTCCGATCGGTACCTCTTGTCGAATTTCTTGTACAGCCTGTGACCGGACACGTGCTTCGAAGAGGATCGATGCCCTTCCGGGGAGTCCGCGAAACCTGCCGGTGGTCGAACGATCTCTTCCGAGACCTCGAGGTGGAGCAATACGATGGCACGCACGATAGAGAAAAGAGGTAGATAGACCGATAGATAGAGAGATAGATTGATCTAACCTTCGAATTTCTTTTTTCTTTCCTGTTACTCTACTGTGGCAACTTTTTTTTTGGCAAAGCTGGACAGTAATTGATTGTTTTATAATTACTTCTGTAATTGATTATTGAAAGAACCGATTAATTATTATTGACCCCTCAACTACAAAAGGCGTAGGTATATACATTATGTATTATTATACATGAAAGACGCATGTAAGTATATGTATGCTCAATGATCGAAAATAATTGTAATTAATCGGGTTACATTGTGTCCAACTCTGTCCTGAAATTTTTCAATTCTAATTTACTAATTACAGAAACAATAAGAAGAAAGGAAGAAATTTAAGATTCAAGCAACTATGTAACTACACTGTGCACTACAGCAGCGACAGATATTAGGACAATTGCTTGGAGCAATGATATATTGGAGCAAACTAAACTAAATAAACAAGGATGGTGTGCTATTTCAGGTATTTAACATGATGAATATTGCATTGGAAACGACCGTATATGTAGCACGACACGTTATAATTGCAATCATTCAGAATATAATTTCATGTTTCAATTTACACCTGCCACATAATGCCATATTAATATTACTCAAAATTTACCGCGATTATTATTTGTCTGAACACTATTCTTGTCAGATTAATTTCATTATCACATATTAATAATAATTTTAATATTTTTGAACAATAAACTTATTTCATTTGCCATATTTACCAATTGCCCAATTTTTGAATCTGACTTTTTCAATAGAACTACCTCAGAAACATTTACAGATATATCAATATAGACTCGCAACTTCTGCGATACGTTTGCATTATTGACTCCTCTGTTTAAGCATTTCAAACAACATACCTCCCTTATTTGAGTTACAATGTAGCAAACAACTCCAAGCAATTGCCCCGATACCCATCCTTGCACTATAGCTTTTATACGTACATATATGTAACTAACTCGATCGGTTTGTTCATTTACATACATCTAATCACCATTAAAACTACCCCAATAACTTCCTCTTCTATAATAGGTACATAAGCAGGTATATCAACTTTGTACCAGTCAACTTGTACCCTTTCCTTCCTTTCAAAGGAGGAACAAAGGAGTAAGCAATAAATAATTTACCTCTCTGCCACAATGATGACAATGTGGAGCGTCGAGCACGCTGATGGCAAGATATTGGTCCGCACCCTCGCTGTAAAAAACACTGTCGCTACCCGGACTGACGGACCTCAAGGATTCCGCTGAAAGAGCTTTTAATCTCGCTTCTGGGCTCTGAGACTCGACAATCAACGCCCGTTGCCCGTTGTGTCCTGGACTACGTTGATAACGGCCCGGACTCAACCTCGAACACATTATGTCGTCCGCCGCACGTGATCTTCTTCGTGGCAGGCTACCTGTTATGGCCGCGTTCTTATCCTACGCAGAAATCGGACACTCTGTCTAGTTGTAAAATTAAAAAGTTTCGAATTAAATTATCCAAATATTATCAATAAAAACTACTTATGAAATTATTCGAAATTTCAAAAGCCGCAATATCGCTCTCACCTCGTTACTTCTTCTCCTAGCAGAAACATAACCAGTGGTCTTCCTCCTGGGACTCTCCCTAGTTCTTCTATGTCTTCCATCAGTGCCATCGCGATGCATATGATGATGATGATGATGATACATATGGTAATGATGACTACAGCTAGAATCATCTGACGTAGGAATATGGCCAGTATCTTCAGCCTGATCCACACGCCAATCCTCTTTCTGAGGACTTCTAGTAATTTGTTGTTGCTGTTGTTGCACCTGCACCGTTTGTTGAGTAGCTTCCCGTTTCCTGTTGTTTTTATGGGGACTCTTGGCGTTCGTTGATTTTCCCCTCGGTCTGTGCCGATGGCTGGACGTTGGACTGACTTCAGCACTGTCCCCGTAGGGTTCTGGACTGCGCTCAATGTCCTGTGTGCTACCAAGGAAGTCCAGAGTGAAGGTCTTCCGGCGTCTACGACGTTCTTCCTCGCTCCAAGTTCGCGGATCTGGAGGAGATTCTGCATAGCCTCCGGAAGAGGAGCGGTGACCTTCCTGGAAGTGGATAGAACGGAGGAAGGATGCTGTAATTCAAAGATGCTTCGAACTTCAAAGCGTAGATTTAAGGATTTAAAAATTTTCTAATATGTAATATTAGAAAATGATCTTTTAACACGGTGATAAACGGAAATAAGTTAATATACACAATTTCCTCTGTACGTCGCGTCGTGTAAGTTTCGACTGTCACTATAGTAACGAGCAACTATTAAATTTCGTACAATACTGACAAGGACTGTTGATTTTATCATGATTATTGAATACCTACATTGATTTTGATGACTTTGAAATAATTGTTCTGTACATATAGTATATGTTACTTGGATTATTTCTGACTTATAATAAACTTATGGTTATCAATAATGATGAAAAATCCGTCTGATATTTGTCTGTGTTCTTTCCTGTCGTATAACAATCTGGAGAGAAGGTGTTGCCAAGAAGGAGAGATTCTGAGTGACATAAGCGGCTTAAGAAAGGCTGACAATCGCTCGAATACGATGAACAGAGTAGTGGTCGCTTTTCGACTTCAACAACTGAAAAGTCTGCGCCCATTATGCCCAAGTTTTTTTCAGAGGATCCACGCTTTGAAGTGATGAAACGTTCTATTGTAAACATTCGTCTTGTTAGGCAAGAAGTACCCAGAAGATGCGTTATGCTTTCTTTCCCATAACAATGCACTCGTATATATTCCTTGCTTCTCTTCCCGCAAGGAAAATCTTCCAAACCGAAAATTCTGATCTTAATGAAACTTTGTGAAACTGTAGAGAACATCAAGTTGTGCGAGAAATAATTCTTTTTCCACCCAAGATTCACTCTGAGGGAGTGAAATCAATCTTTAAAGTTTAACGAATTTCTTTTAATATACATTCTTGGAATGTTCAGAAAGTTTCTTATGAATAAGAATGAAAGAAAACTTCATTGATGAATTAATTGGAATTATTTTAATTATCGCCTTACGTCACGATCCAACTCCGTCTCTGAGGTGTGTCCGCTCGTAGGTGCAGTCTGTTCGTGTTCCTGACCTGGATCTATCATTGCATCTTTCAGATCGTAGCTACCCGAACTGCTGCTGCTACTGGATCTAGCCGGTGACGGAGGTACCTCCAATCCAAATGGAATTTCCGTTTCCTCCAGTATCGGTGGTGGACTACATGGCTCTTCAACGATGGCCTGATACAATAGATACGTAATCTTCACTTCACGTTGAATATTTTTTAACACTAATCTGATATGATACATCACTCATCGAGATCTATAATTTTAAAAAAATTACACAATTTACTTGAAATTTCTATTTCATTTCATTTCTTTTCTTTTCTTTTCTTTTCTTTTCTTTTCTTTTCTTTGACTTGTTACTCCAGGCATAATTTATTTTTTTACAATTGTAAGTGGATTTTTCACTTATGATTTGCCTTAGATACGTCTTACAAGCTTATTTTTTTCTATACAGGAGAGGAGAGGAAAGATGGTAAATAGGACGGCATCAAGTCAACATTATGCTTCTGAATCGAGCAAAATTTCACCAGCTGTCCTGATTCCTACGAGTTTCTTATTTGCAGAGATATATCTGCTATTCAAAGGATCGTCTATATTTGTTGAAGAGGTATACGCTACAAACATCGCAGATTGTACACGCTGCATGAATATCAATACGATACAATATGTCATTTTTACTGTATGTATATTTGTACTAGTATTTTATTTCGTAGCGATGCTGATAGTACAACTAGCTGAGTAAGTGTTTAATTAAAAAATATAAAAATTTCACTATTACAGTATGCATAGTACAATGCAAACTTGATTGATATATTTAAAATATAAAGAGTTGAAGAATTAAAAGATCAGCTATTAGAAATATTTTATGGATATTGAGATTAAAGCCGTAAATCGGCCAATTCTGAATGACAACCTACTCCGAAAATGAGAAACAAATAATAAAATACACTCACCTCGCTGCGAGCAAGGCTGTAAATTGAACTGGCACTCTCGAAGGAGCTTCCATCCGCAGCAGTGGCTGTTGCCGAGGCGGACGCCGCGGCGCTTGAAGTCTGTGGAGGCCTGGACCAGGAACTGGTCGTTGCGGAGGTGCCTGTAGTGGTCCCAGTCTCAGTGGAGGTGTTGGCAGTGACATAATCCTCGGTAGTCGAGGTTTCAGACAGATCGGTATTCGTTCGACCTCCCGAATCGGTCCTGGCCAAGCTCAAGCCGAATTCGCTCGAGGATTGCGATTGAGGCTGTGATAACGGCGGTCCAGGACTCGAACGACGAAATCCGCTTCTCGGTCTACCGTTGCTTGGCGTCAAGGACGATTCGACGCTGAGAAGTAATTGCCTTTAAAAATTGCTCCAAATTGTACACGGGGTGTCTCTATCACGGTGCAATATTTGATGGATAGATTTGCTTGATATGTTAAAGCAAATAATTATTCACCGAGTTTAATCAGTCAGATCGAATAGTGTGAATGAATGAGTTCACATGGACTGCTATACACCTACATACCTTGGTGTTAACGGTTGAACAGGCGTTGCTGGCTCAAGGCGTATCCTTGGACTCGAAGGACGTGATTCAATGGTCTCTTCAACGTCCAGCGCCTCTGTGTCCATCGAGGATCGCTGTTGGTGTTGAAGAAGCAGAAGATGCCTCCTCCTCGAGGACGGTGTCAATAAGGCCAACGAGTCAACCTGGAGAACCGTCGCCTGTGACTCGTTCCAAATTCCATCGCTATGGTCCCTCGTGACGTCGTTCGTTAGCGAATCGCTCGAAGCAAACGGAGACGTGATCATACCGGAAATTCCGGTAGCAGTGAAAAGTAACGGACAAAGTGGCGCCGCTTGTCGCAGTGGACGAGTCGGTGATGCGTAGTCTTTGGGACTCTGTAAAATCCTTCGTGGTGCTGAAACATAATTTCTTTCTTTTTTTTTTTTTTTTTTTTTTTCTTTTTAGTATATTTAATTCTATTAAATTTGTTTCATACAAGACCGCCCCGCTAGAAGAAGAATTTTTAAACTACCTAATCTTGCAAAAATAATATGACATCATCACATTTCATACCTGCTACTGCAGTCGGTGATGTGGGTGATGTTGGAAGCGATCTTGGCAACATAAAATCATCGGACACTAAACCTTGCACACCATCCTCCAGTGATACGCTCCTCTTGCGAAACAGCCCTCGTCGAATGAGGTTCTCGTGAAACTCCTGCGATGATATTGGGAAATGACATTATGCCTTTTCAGTTTTATAATAAGGAGACATGGATTTAGAATCGTTTATAATTGGATTTTACAAAAAAGTAGGTAGTGCTTGATGAAATATGATTTTGCACAATATCAAATATTTTAGTATTACATTTTAAGTTTAAGTTGCAATGGCAAGCGATAAAATAAAGTGTTCCCTGTTTCATTTTTGTCCCGAATTTATTTGAAAAGTTTTGAAACGTGTTTACCATCGAAGAAGAAGAAGATGAAGAATATTTTTTGCAAGAACAGTTTGCTGAAATTGGATTATTCTTATATTTTCTAAACAGTAAAGTTCCGAAACTCATTAAGGAGTGACTGCAAAGTTAATGGTTTACGGTGCAAGGTTATACGAGGCTGAAGAAAGTAATATCTACTTCCTTCAACGATTATGAAAGGTTGCTGTCTTCTTCAGTTAAAATAACTCTTCATCAGAGAATTCGTTCTTCAAGCACGGCCGATTAAAATTCAAGCACCTTGTACAGAGCAGCCTGCTCCTCGAGAACTTTCAATTAGTTTTACAATCTTCTCGCGAAATATAGAAAAAAGAAAAAAAAAAAAATACTTTCAATAAAGACATTATAGAGATTTATGTCCTTGAAAAAATTTTAAATTGGAACATTCAAAAAAATATTATCGTTTCTTCTAAATTAAACTTTGCTTAATTTTCAAAATTCTAATATAGAAAACATTAATATTAAAAAAAAAGTGAACAAATACATAGTAGACAATTACCTAGATTTAGAAAATAAAAGAAAATTCTATAAAGTTAAAATTGGACTTGCAATAATTATTATCAGAATCATATAAGCGACATGTATTTCTCAAGTTTAAGCAATTAAGGCAAAAAAGTTTGAAAGGTGGTTAAATTCAGATTGCATTGCGTTCAGTTTTAACGTGAAATTTATGTGGACTTCAGAAGTGGTCCGAGTTAGAGAAAAATTCGAGTCACTAGATTCAGATTTAATCCAACTTTAAGCATCAAAGTTTCCCTCATTATGAATTCTCAAACATCTCCTTCTTTCAAGTACCAGACGTTGATCTTTTATTTTTTAAGTAAAACATAAACATCCTGCCCGTATCTCTTTAATACACCTGTAATTTTATCACTTTTCTCTTGCTAATATTTTCACAGCGCTTCCATAATTAATGAGGTTTTTCTACTGCTTTCTTATTAAGACACATGTAAATAATAAAGCTATAGAGGTTGCAAATTACAGTAGGTATAAATAAATATAAAAAATTTGATATTATTCGTAAATGTACTCTGATCGTTAAATATGCCTATAGATACCAAAGGGGTATTTTATAAAGTAATCGATGAATTTTTCATCAATATTTTAAGATATAAAACTGGCCAAGTAAATGAAAAGCCGATGGGTGAACGACAACGTTACGCATCAATTCAAAAAGGATGGAGTCATTTGAAAAGTTTGATAGATAGAGATTGCAAGATTTCTACTGATCGTGAGTGAGTCAGCAATTTAAAATCCTTTTGCGACAGCAATCTCGCCAGCCTATAATAGCTACATGTAGGTATGTACATCTGCGTAACAGAAATAAAAACGTATCGGAAAAAAATTTCTAACTATTTGATACATAACCAGTGGCATGAATTCCAATTAAACCTGTTATTCATTCTTTTAAAAAACTACCTATTATTTGAAACATGTAAAACAGATAGAAATATTCATTGCAAAGAAAATTTTTTCAAATATACCTACTTATTATTATTTCAATCTTTAGTAATTCCGTTATTAATGGGAGCATAATTTACTTTCTTTACGAGAAAAATAATTTCTACGATTTACACCTTTTTGTGCATTTGCTTACCTCTTCGGGATGATCATCGTGGGGCGAAGAAACTCGGAGCAAGGACAGGTCCTCGGGCGTCGAGGAGAATTGGACGGATGCTCTGACGGTCCTGCCCCATGGGTCCTGATGATTTCTTCTACACGTGTGAGGATAACTTGGTTCACCAGTTTCACCGACCAACTCGCGTCTTTCCACGCGAATTTCTCCGTCGGAAAAGGTCTTTTGCAACGGTAGAAACCTTCGCGGTGATTGGGATATCCGGTTCAGTAGAGCTCGAACATCCGGCGACACTGGTGCAGGCTTAAAGTCTATAAGGATTTCTTGGTCATCTAAGTCGATGGATCTTCGTTGATCTTGAAGCTGGACAGAAAAATTAACCGAGACAACAGATTAATTAATATTGTACAAATGTAAAAGAAATGTAAAGGATGTAATAAAAAAAGAAATCCAAAGGATAGAGCGTAAACTTTTTTTAATAAGATCACGTTTAATTAAAATTATTTACACGATAAAAAGAATCAAAGAATGCTTGTAGTAACGTGAAACCTCATTTCATCGTTCACCTGGTAGGTAGTACTAAGCAAAGTTAAAACGCGAAATGTCATGAAACGCGAAACATCGATCAATACGTTAATATCCGTAACGACGTGTGTCCTTTAATTACATTCCACTGGTGTGCTTTTGCTTTCAACTATCCTCTATTTTGTTAGCAAACAGTAACTCGATCATACTACCATTACAATCATCTATCAAATAGCATCGAAATTTGATTCTTGTTTGACCTTCCTGTTAATAGAATGGAATCAACTGCCGACGAGAACGTGTTTCGATGATCTACATACATATGTAGAACACACCCCGAAATAAATTAATTAATTCCGTTCAATTTCATTCAACGCGTTGGCTACGACGCGACGCGCGACGTTAAGACCAGTTTCGAACGGCACGTTTCTACGTAGACATACGATTGAAATTTATGTCAAATGGAAATTAATTGCGTTAGGAAATTGAATAATATCAATTATTTCAAACGTTGCAGAGGACTTTTTGCACCTCAATTTTATAATATTTGAATTTTGTATTTTCCTTTTGTACTTAACACAGTACAGTTGTTTCCCAGATGTATCCGGAAAACATGTACCACTTTTTACGCAAACGATTAAAGGGATTGGACAAAAACGGGTTACGTTAATCGTTGTACGCCAAAAGCATTAACCGTTCCGTAGGAGTCGAACCGGAAGAGCGACTCGTTGAACACCTAATCGATACGCCCACTATGACAGAGGCGAGATTTCATACGTAAAATTGAATCCGATGAAAGCGTTTGATCCGATGCAGAACATGCGATCGAATAATTCGGTAGATTATTATTTTCGATTGCTCCCTAAGCGGTGGCGAAATTGGAATTTGTAATATCTTCTTGTCGAAAGCTGGGTATCAAGTGTGGTGATTCGAGCATCGCGAGCAGTCCTTTCAAGCTACTCTACTTCAACTAACACACAATCGATGTGATTCCGCTGGAACATTCAATGGACGTTGGAACATTCTATAGGAATTTCATTCACAAGTGGCATACATACGATGGATAAAATAATCGATACATTGAGATTGAGATACATAAATTGCAACCCATGTAATATTCAGGACCAGATTAAGAATTCCTTTCAAGTTAGTAGCTATGAAAATTGGCATATGAACAAAAATTGTATTCACATTTACGTTAGATTGATGAGACCAGATTAAATTTCAAGTTATAATCAATGTGAAAAAATTATAAAATGTATAAAATTAATAGTAATATTTTAATGGAAGGTACATATTTTATAATGGTAATCAATTCCTTTGATATTTTAATCATTTAAATTCTGCAAGGCAAAGTTAATAGGTAGGTACGTACCTACCTATTCGATAGAGGTAGGTACGTAGGTACATACACCTCGAGTACTTTTTAATATTTCATATTTTCCTATGTCGCTCTAAATCCTCTTTTCCTCTTCCGCCTCGAGAATTACTTCAAATTTACGTACATCAAAATCTCTTTCGAGAACTCGACGATTTAACGGATTAAGCAAAGGGGGATGATCGTTGAGAAGCGTCGTTCAGAAATTATCTCACAATTCTAGTTTAAAAATGGGAAATATCATTAACTGGCATCGTGAATTGATTTAATTAATAATTCTAATTAGCCTGCTGTTGTAATTTAATCAGTTTAATCATGTGGAGAATAAATAATTGATTCAATGAATAATTAAATAATAACTAGAGAATGAAGTAGTAGGTATAAATCTTAGCGCTAAAGAGTATGAAATAATTTCTATTTCATTTATACCAATATTCCATAGCTATTAATAAAATCTATTTAATCGTTAAATAGTGTACTAAATACATTTCAAAGTTTTCAGAGGCGGCACTTTTCGTCTAACGATAAGGACAGAACCTTGTGTATAGATTTTCCTTATTGTAAGTTCTTAAAGTCTTAAGTCCTTCTTAAAAATCCGCCTTTTCTTAATAAATAGCAAAGTAAATGTCTATAAACTTACGACACTCGTTAGAGGTTCCGAGATGTCCCCATTAGTCAGAGCCTCCTCGGTAGCGGTAGTGGTGTACGGTCCTCCAGGGGGTGGCGTATCGACAAGGAAGGGTGACCTGGGTGGTTCCTCGCTCTGCGTCCTGTGAAGAGGTTCGTGCTCGGTTTCTTCTTTCCCCGGTGTGCCAGTTTGACCGCCACCCAACGGGGTACCCAGCTGACCAGCCTCCGAGTAACTTTTCGTCAATTTCCTGCCGTTGAACAGACCGTTTGTCTGGGCGCCTTGCGAGACCATCTTTACCCGGTGTATCGTCCTGGGGCTAAGGGTGACTGGGATGCGACCTCGAAACACCGCTGGCAACTCCGTTTGGGTTGCCTGTGTCTTCATGGTTCCTCGCTTTGGTGGCTTTTCTGTAACGTATTCCTTATTAATATCAGAAATTAGACATAGCCCGAAGTCTGAAGTTTCCCTGTTTCCTATTCCTATAATAAACTGCAATTTCATTTCACGAAGAGCCATCTTACATAGGCGATGCTGGAAAACGATCCCCCATCAAATAATACTAATCTATCGAATACTTTATTAGAGACATATCTGTACAGAGGGCAATAAGAAATGGATTTCCACCGATATCGATATTAGGCTGGATAACATGATTCAGCTGATAGTCGTAATTCAACGTTCGTTAGGGATTAATTGAGGAAGCAGAATTAATGCTTTCACCAGGACCAGTGTAATGTCAATCCTACGTACGAAACTATTCCGAGTCGTTATCGTTTCCTAGACTAGTTCAATACTGGCTCTCATTCGACCGGCTATATTGGCAATTTGGTAGCTAATATTGAGCTAACAGTCCCTAGGCAAGGAGTTAATACTCTTGGAGACTCCGATAATCTGCAGCTGATGTGGAATAGAAATGGAAACGAGCTGCTGCTGCTTCTTTAAATGTAATGGCTCCCTCGAGGCGCGAAGATTCATGAGAATGGGAAGAATTTCACGGTAGAACAGGAAATAGCGTTTTTATCACCGTTTGTTTAGGTTCTAGGAGTTTAGCTTAATGGTGTTCTTTAACCCTCCGACTGCAGATCATGGAGAGAGCCTTAATTTTAATTTTAATTTTAATTTTAATTTTAATTTTAATTGAATTTTACACTGTTCCCTTAAAAATTATTCTTGCAATTATGAGACTGTTTTATAATTAAACACTTGTACCTAATTGTAAACATTGTTTTACATAATTGTACATAATTTTATATATTTAATTATGTAATATTATCGTGTATCATACTATACATATAGTACCTATAATTGTTTCTACTATAATAGTCGTTAATTCTACTGCTGCTACCAATATATGTATGTACATAATAAATTCTTGCAACGAGTAACACAAAGCCGTAATTGCACGAGCCTTAACCATTGCGAAACTTCTAGCTCAATGATCTAACGCGTAGCTTGAAGGTAAAAGAATTTCAAGCTCGCCATGCTATTGAAACATTTTATCTAAAGAGTGCTTTTAGACCAACGTACAGCCATAGTTTTAAGTTACATCAGAGGGCCTATTTAGTTACACGGGCAAATGTGTACGTGGCCTTTTGAAGAACGGACAAGGCTACGCCTTTCTGTGAGAAAATGAGTCAAGAGTCCGTTTGAGGAAGAGTGTGAACGCGTGAAAATTGACTTTCAAGGCGATGTCACGAGATTTATGGAAACTGAAAGAAATTTACTTTGTTTCAAATTCTGAATTTTACTTCTTTTGCCATAATTTCAATATAACCATATGTATTTTAGCGACTGGCGATACTTCGTTCCCTGCGATACACCCTGCCGTTACGCGACTCTGGGATATGCGATTTGCGATAAGCGAAGGATAAGTTAACCATTACACAACATTTTTCACTATTAACTAGTGAAATTTATATAAGAAAAAACAACTTACCAAGGACAAGAACACGGGGCTCACTAGTTCCATAGGGGTGCATCAGAGGTAAAGTTGAAGGTAGCATCGCATTTTGCATTGTTGGCTGTGAATCTATAAGGCGTTCTTGATTTTGTGGTCTTGGAGGACTTCTACTCCTTGGAACGTCGAAGGATGTAAGGGTATGTGATCTCGCGAAGCTCACGTGCTTTGTTTTTGGCGCTTGCGCGGAAGGTGGTGGGGGTGCAGGTGGCAGAACTGGTCGAGGACCTTCCAATTTTGTTGATTCTTCATCCTCGGGAAGCCAGGTGTACCTGGTGGCAGAAGACACTTTTCAAGTATGAAACAAGGTTTTAAATAAAACTATGGTAAATAATACATTAGAAATTATTATTTAATAAATATTGTCCGTTTTAAATACTTGTTTCTAATATAGGTACCTGCTGTTATACCTACAACTATATGCATTCTTTTCCCTGGTAGGAGTTCAACAGGTACCGCAGTGGAACGTTTCATAACCGCGAGGCAAAGAATGAACGTTAACGATCTAAAGAAAGCCCATCATCCCTTTTTTCAACAGTTGACATTAGGATTAAAGTATGCTGCTGGCTGAGACTTCCTAGTTACCGGGCGGCTTAATTAACCGCTTAAACAATAGTGACATTTATTTCAACGCCGGAGATATTCTAACTTTTTATTAATACGCCAGAGAAACGTTCGCGCAGATATTGCCAGACACCATGGTTACAACATTCTCATTTCCATTGTGTCGTCCGCGCGCCGCGCCGATCTTCACACGCGTGACAGCCATTATCTTGGGAAAAGTGGGTGACAGCGCGTTGCTTCTGCGACCCAAATAAATTGCATTTAAATTTCATGCATTTAGATTTCACACCCCTTTCCCAAGGAACGTAATAACGCCGGAAGAGAGAAGACTGCCATTTCTTTACTCTGATTTTAATGAAATAAATCCAGCTTTTATTTGTTCGTATTTTTTAGACGGGAAGAGGTAGCAAGAATAATTTTCAAAATAATTCTATGAAATAAAATAGAATTTCAAAATTGTCTAGATTTGCTTCAAAGGCACCCTCTATAACATTGATCAGCCACATGATCACATTTATTTCCGTAGTCACCCCGATAACGTATAAATACAGTAATTTACCCCATGAACATAATTTTTCATCGATCCTATACTATCAACCTTGAAACATCCTCGTCATCGTCGTTACTCGTGACTGGGGCCAATCGGAAATAAACTGAATCTCTAGAAGCGCCACGAGACCCATATAACCCCTTGCTTTTCCCATACGTTGCTCCATAACAAGCACTTTCTGAAAACTTTATCTCAGACACCGTACGCGTTGGAAAGTTCCCGAGATCCTTTTTAAGATTCTATCAGAGTCCCTCTCTTTTATGTCTTTTTCTAAATGGTTAATTTTCTTTGCTGCCACTTCGGGATATTTACGTCTTGGAATCACGGCACCGTGAAGGATCAGATATTTCATCGGACTGCTAAAGCGCCTTTACGTTCCAAGAATATTATCGTCGTTGCAGCGAACGAGGCAGTAAATTTGCTGTGCGATCAAGTATTAATTTTTCATGGCTGAATGCTCCTTTTTTTAATTCCTTTGTTCTCTGAATTTTATTGCATACGAATAAGAATCTATGATGCTTGGACTTTGCAGGATAACATTAATTAAGGTGGGTGTGTGCGTACATACATATTATATATTAATAAGATATTTGTAAGAATATTTAATATTTAAAGAACAAGAGGAAAACAGACTACTATACTTACCTTTTCGGGTCAGGAATGGTGCAAAATGACCTAGGTCTCCTTCGGAAGAAGGAACTCTCTATCCAGTCAGCCTCCTCCTCAAAATCATAACGTGACAGCCCCCTCGCATAACCGGGGTAAGGTTGCCGGTACATGATCTGGAGGGGTCTTCGAGGATAGGGGGCGTCACAGAGGTTTTCATCGCTTGGCACGCTTCTCACACAGGCAGATAAAATGGAGGTCCTAGCTGCGCTGCATGGAGAAGGTCCTCTAGTCGACAGGCACCCAAAAAAACCACCGCCAGATTTTTCTACCGCATCCAATTGCCGACTGGTTATGCAATACTGTTCCTTGATGTCCTCGCGAGAGTACAAAGGAGTTGCCCTTCGATCCCAGTCGATGCTAATGTTACCACTAGTCGCGGTGAAACCGCCGTGCAGATCCACCTGGGTCGAGACGTCCACCTGTCACGCACACAACGTTTAGTTTAATTAGTGGAAAATCGATCGAGGACGCGTGGTAGTTTGATTGAAAACGTCGCTGCATGGCCGAAACTAATTCCACCAGTAGCGAACTAACTGACCGCTCGTTTGGCAACTTGCTTTTTCAACAAGTTTTTTTCAACAAAATTCAGATCTATGCTCGGATCTACGACTGCCATTTATACTGGGAAAAAAAAAAAATTTATACTGGCTGCGCCAGTATCAGTGACAGTTGATCAAACTGATAAAATATTGAAAGCCGGGCTACGATGTAGGTACGATTGAAAAAAAACCGTTTTCATGCGATGAAAAATACCGTCAAAGCGACTGCATCCTCTGTCACAATACACTTCGTCCCATCTCGCCTCCCTTGATCACCCACGGGAATTTATATTTCAGCCTTTTAACGAAATTCACGACATCGCTGCGACGCTGTACACGTCGCATCCCGTCGAGTCGACCTTTGACGATAGCCGTCAATTCCTAATAGCTCGCTGGCTAAAAGAGAGGCGAATGTTCTTTTCATTAACTATCAACGTCTGTTCCAGTTCTGATCACACTCGATCTTTCGAATAAATCGATACTACCTGTCAAGCGAAAATTGCTACGCTATTAGCATCACTGAAAAAATTCATACACGAATTTGAAAAAGTTGCATGCTACGCTATGCTAAAGAGATAAGCCATTTTAAACCTTTCAAAAAATTCGTCCTTGTTTGTTCATGGAGGTTGTGTCCATAGGAGTCTATCTCTTTTACTTATCTAATTAGAAATACCTACACATTTTTATTAAAGTGAAGAAGAATATACATATAATACCAATTATAATTTTTCAAATGTACTATATCAAATAGAGCCTCTCAGTTTCTATTGCTTAATATTAATTAATCTACTGATGATTGTTTAATAATTCGTATTAAACTGGTTCGATGATCGATGTAACGTCGAACGATGTTGTTAATTTTTGATAGACTCGAAAGAGGGCTGGTTTCTGGCGGCGGGGGTGGTCGTTTTAACGCGGTCGGGTTTGGAATTATTATCGCGTAACCGTCTGACCGGAATATCGGCTCATTATTTCGTTCGATATCACGCGCGAAAGCTTTAGTTTTCACGGTGTCGATATAATAAAAGGTCGCAAGGCGAGACATCAGTGTAATTGCAACCAACCTGGTCGCTCGACCATTGTATTCAACTACGTTGAAATTCTTAATTAATCCCTAACGACCAATTATCGATTTTTTTGCTGCATGGAAATGCGGTCGGGACAAGTGATCCCATCGTGTAACTTTTTTTATTCCCTTGTCATTTTTGCGATATAACTTTTTACGTTGTTCTGCGGTTGTTAGCCGATATTTCATTAACCCTCGGACGGCGGGTCATCAAGATAGCCATCATTTTAATTCAATTTTATATATTTTATGTTATCTTCATTTTCTAAATTTTACATTGTTTCTTTATAAAATAAAAAAATTGAACAAAAAATATTTAATACTCTCATTAAAGGATATTAAAAAAGAGTACCTTAGAATAAAACTTCAGAGAATAGTGTAAGATTTATGTGGAAAATTAGTTATAATACTTCATCGCATAATTACACTTATTAGGTAAACTGTTGTTCACGACATACCCTTTTTGCTCTATATTTCTTTTCCACATTCATTTCCATTTAAGTATTACGTATTACGTATTACGTATAACAATAAACAACTAAATCGTTACAATCTACCTAATTGGCAAAGTTTCAAGTCAGTTATCCTACATGCTCCATGTTCAGTACCTATTATTTGTAAATTATTGGTAAACCTTAATTTTCTTGTTTCAAACATTATATGTATACATACATATTTAATCATGCATAATATGCTGCTGGTCAGAGTGTAGATTAAAATTAATATACATATAGTTATTCAAGGTATTATCCAATAAACTCCTAACGTAATTCTCTTATGTATGCTTTCGAGAGTGAAAATTATTGATATTATTACTTGGAGCGTTCACTACCACAGTAGAAGAGATCGTATTTGGTACGACACATCTCATAAATAATCACTTATAGAAACAAACAAAGAAAGTATTCTCTTTCAATTAGCCATAAGATTCTTCAAAATATATACCTATTAATTACCGTACAAGACAAGCTTTCATCACTTCCGTTGAAAATTGGAAAATTTCAAAGAGATAGCTACCTACCTACTTATGTTAGTACCGGAGAAAGAAGAGTCTCTTCTCATGAATGGAAGAATGGATAGTTGATTTAACAATTGTAAGAATCAGAATAGACGAAATCGCTTTCGACGTTTCTATTCGCTGAAAAACAACGGAGAGACGTATTATTCCCTGTAAAATGTATGCATATTTTTTTTTATCACAGAAAGAAACGTGAAACTTCTACTCCAATAATTCTCTTTGTTATAAAACCTCGCAAAAGGGCGAACAAAAATGTTCCGTAACGAAGATCAATATGTGATGCGAGGTTCTTATATGCACACCAAAGAAATTCTTTGACAGGACATCGGATAACATCGTGTTTTTCAACAATGTGCAGTATGAATCAATGTTAAAGTGTTGGAGCTGCGATGGCGGACTTTTTAACGATAAACCAGAGTTAAACTAAAAATTTTCCAGTTAAAAACGGGGAGGACGAGGGTTTCTTTTTTTTTTTTTCAATTTACATCCCTTATCGTATAATAAAATTTATCAAACAGGGAAGAATATTTAAATAAATGAACATTTTAAAAGGTTACAAGTGTTTTCGCTGACAGCCATCGAAAATATACCACATCTCGCGAATGTACTTGCTCGTGACAGTATGGTGGTTACATGATGCAGTAAATCTTTCTCCAATTTTCCCATCTGCTGGAAACAGCGCAACAATTTCGACTTTCATAAACATTTCCCAGTCAGCAACTTCGTTACGTTACTCTCGCGCTGGAAAATGCTTCGTCGTCTCGTCCAAATAAAACATAACACTGTCCGTTTACAACTTTCAACAACCTTTCTGTGAAATTTATTCTGCAAAACGATAAACTAGAATTCTGATTTTTATCTCTGTTACCGGTGTTCATTCATAAATGGACTACGATATGTTCATGCAATTAAAGTACCTATACAGGATATTATTAAAAAATAATAATTAATAATATCTTTTATTCTAATTGAATTAATTGTTGTTAAAGTAATATATTATAGACTTTTAAGAATTCAGAATAAAAGTTGAACAACATTAATATCGCTTCCGGTAATAAAAAAGTTTCTCTACTTTCTTTAACAGTAGCTGTTTCCTTTGTTGCATACCTTTCTGAATGTAAAACACTCTTCCCCGATATAGGTATAAGTGTATCAGTACACTTGATCCATTTTAATTCCTAAGTGTTACCTTGTAAGTATGTATACAACTACTATGAAACAAAATGAAACTGGTGAAAACTAATTTTCTTGTTTACAGCTACGATTGCATCATTTGCAGAAACAAGAAAATTCCTGTGGTTATTGGAAGTTTCGCAATACAATATAGTGCAGTTACAAAAATAGATTGCAAAATTATCTAACGGGTGTAATTTAGATTTAGTATAAATAATAAAAATAAGACTCTCTATTGTACAAATGTGGTTGCGCCATTGATAAGTACTGCGATAGAATAATACCAAAAGTATAGTCTACCTACATACATACATTAACCAGATGATTTGCATTCAGTCAGTAGAATTACCTTTACAACGTAGAAATTACTAACGAAGGTATAAAGAATTCCATTTCTCTAATTCCAGCCACACAAAGCGACCCCATAACTGAACTCTACGTAATGGTAGAAGCAAGCATTATCGAAACCATACCGAACGCGTTCGAATTCTACAGAATAGCTTCGAATAATGCTGACCTGGATACAATAGGAATGAGGACAATAAAAAATTTGAAAGCTTCGACGAACAGTTTTAACCCATACCCATCTTCTCCACCATGTTCATTTAATCGCGTATCAACGGATTACCACCTTTTCGGATGAATGCAAATCGAATTAAACGGCTTAACGTTCCAAAATAACGTTCGGTACCTATACGAACAGGGTGGGCCACGCAACTGTTTCAATCATGAAAGAGATTCTCTCTCAACTTTCTCTCTCTGGGCTGATAGCCCAGAGAGATCTTCTCCTCTCCTTTCACCCTTTATTTCATTAGCATTCTTTCCCATGGACGTGGTTTCATCGAAATTCCATCGTTGATATCAACAAAAGGTGTTCCAGACCAAATGACAAGCGCATAATTTCTCCCATCGGGAAATTTTCTAATCCGCGAAAGATGCTGAAAATTCCTCGCTGCGTAATTCCATTTATTGGAATTCGAGCGTGAAAAGATCAACAGAAAGGACCCCTCGACGGGAAAATGGAACAAGCCCTCCCTTCCCTCTCTCTCTCTCTCTCTCTCTCTACTGCCTCTTTTATAGCTCTCTTTCTCTCTATCTCGATAAAACTGACCCACATTCGATCAGCGGGAAACGAGTCTTCGAGTGCATCATCGAGGCGCACCGAGCACTTATTCGAAAGACGAGAGGATGACACGCTGAGTCGCGAGCTTCGATTCGAGGTCGTGCACCCTTCCATTCGACGAGCAGAATAAAAAAAAAAAAAGAAAAGAAAGAGGAGAAGTAGAAGAAATGAGAACTCCTCGAGCGGTAATCACGATTAATTAAAGGCTTTAAAACTAACTCGAGCCCTTACGCTTTCCACGCCCTGTATGACACTTTCAATACCTGTAAAGCCTTAACGCTGCCTTTCAGAGGATTCCTTCTGAATTACGGCTATCATTGTTTATTGAATTTCCCAGCGATAATTATCGATCCCCTTCCCGGTTTACAATCCTTATTAACGGACAATTCTCATCGGGGTTTAATTCGTCGACCTCGGTTTCAGAGGTTTGAGGTTTCAAGACGTACCGTTGATCGATCGAAAAGTGATTCGTGCGGTACATTACGAGATTAGGATTTTATAGTTGTAAAATATCGTGTTGGTAAATCTAACACGATTTATTGATATAAAATTGCAGCAAAATCCACCCTTTTTACACGAGTAGTAAACTATCGAAAATTCTCTGAATAAACCAGTTGCTTCTTCTATAAGGAGTGAAAATTTCATCATGCTTGCTCATTTGATTTGATCATACGGTTCGCTTTGGAGTTTCATATGTATCTTGTGATTGCAACTCGTCAAACTAATGCAAAAATTGAAGTAGTTCTTTCTAGACTACCCTTGATACGGGACTAGTCTGACTACATACGGCATACATAATCATTATTTTACACTATTTTTTTTTCTTATCAAATCTATATTTCAAAATCCACCCTTTGATATGCTACAATCTGATACTTTTTTCTTTTATAGGTACACAATTTTATTGTGTATACGATTCGTATGCACTTGATACGATATGATGATCCATTATCCTACTGTCATTCTACAATGGCAAGATACAATTGCATTTGATGCTTCCCTTGGTAACATATCTGCCATGCCTCGTTTGTATAGTAATCCAAAGATATCGAAATGAAATTATTGCAGCTTGTTATAATCTCCCTAATTTTATTTTTAAATATTCCCAAATATTCTTCATCTAGAATATTTCATTAATTCTGAATAACTCTGCAACTATATTTTCACAAGAGGAAGGAGACCCTGCTCGCCCATAGCATCGTTATGGGGACACCTTACATATGTAACAACCGTAAGGTCGATTATGCTTATGCGGTGTTGAGATGCATCTGGTGTGTTTATATGCTATCTTCTCTTGTTACGTATGATCGAAAGATTTTCAAAAGTAGCTGAAGAATCTGTCAGGGAATATTAACCACCTTCCGTCTTTCTTTCATTTTTATGAAACACCAATTTTATCTATGATATCTGCTTGAAAAGATATTCGACGTCTACTATTTTTTATCAACAAAAAATCATAGCAGTTCGTATACATTACTCTCCACAAGTATTTCAATAGTTTCACATTATCATCAAAATACAATAAAATGCAGTTTAAATAAAACTTTTCAATACAACTTTAAATTGAAGGTAAATTAAAAAATATACATAATTCATAAAATCCATATCCATCGGGAAATACATAGATATATTTACCGATAAAGAGTGCAAAAAATATGAGACAACAGTTAATCAGATCAACAGTTGTTGATGAACTGACGGGTTAATTACAAAGTAGATACCGTCACAATTCCGGTACAAATTAATTCGCCCATCGATTCCGCGTCTTTTTGCGTTAACATTTAATAAGAAAAAAGAAAGACAAAACCGAAATAAATCGATTGATTTAAAAGATTACGAGTTTCTTAGAAAGCACCTCGGCATCCATTCATTCATGAAATTTCCCGTACGTTTTTTCGTCTGAACGCCCGAGAAGTCGACCTAATATTTCTTCGCTGAATTTAACAATAATTTATTTGCGACCTCGAACATTGAATTGCAAACGTACGACAACAAAGGTAAAATGAAGAGCAACGAGCAGAAATTGTCGCGTGGAGATCAAACGAGATCCCTGAAAGAAATGAAGAGGAAGAAGGGATGGGAGGGTTAAAGGTTTCGCTTGAGAAAATCAGAGCGAACAATTTGAAACGAGAGTGGAATTTTTAAAAAATTTCAATGGGAAATAAACTCTGTTGCGCGGGCAGGTTTTTCAATCTTTATCTGATTAAAGACGCGTTTTGAAACGGTACTTCCTTAACCCTCGAACAGCGAACCATGAAGACAGCCCTAATTTTAATTTAATTCTGTGTTTCGTATTTCATTTTCCAAGTTTTATACCGTTCCTATCAAAATTATTAAATATTATACATAACAAAAGAGATTAATTGGAAATAATCGAATTGCGGTGAAACTTTTTGAAAAATTCAAATTTCCAAGGGAGGGAAAACTGGGACAATTAACCCGGAACCCGTGAACTAAACAAGCGGCAATATTCTAATCAGACAAAGTAACTTTTAACTCGATAAACACCAGAGGGGATTCAATTTATCGACAACAGTCGAGCACAAAGCGACGTTATAACAGGCTGGGAAACACGTTGGAAAAAACCAAAAATCGAAAAGCGAGAGAAAAGAGACTGGCCAACAATACGCGCCAACGAATTTCCATACGCGACGGCAGGTAAAGCTGTCAGCCAGATAACTACATACAACCCTTTCGATCCAACTGTCCCTTTGGGAGGGATAAAAAACAGTTGGAGAAATAAACAAAATAGTCAGCGTGGACGGTGTGTTTTGTATTATACCTGAGGATGATAGATCGAAGTAGTCTTGCCATCTGCTCGGATGCTGGGAGGTGTAGTGATGTTCGCGTTCGGCAGGTCCCTCGGGTTCATAGCAATTTCGGGGCCAGGATGTATCTTCCTGATCCCTTGGGTACCAGCCGACGGTCCCATGCTTGGGGCCTTTACCATCGTCGGCCGCACCCCGAACTTGTTCGTCTTCGACGCGGTCCGAATTCACGACAGCAGGGCAAACACGCACGCACGCACGGACGGACGCACGCACGCACGCACGCACGCATGCACGCACGCACGCAACCACTCGAGCAAGCAAAGCAAGCACACTGGCCGGTTCTATCGATCTGTCCTCCTCTTGTTTCCCCTCGAGAAACACGAAAAACGAAAGGAAACCAGCTCCTGGTCCTGACGGTCGGACCAAGGAGGACCCGAAACGGTGGCACTCACCACCCAGCGTCCTCGTCGACTATCTCCACGTTCCGTTCCCTCCCTCGAACATACATCGTCTCGTTCTGCCAACTTACCCCGACCTCCTCCACCGACGCCAGCGCCGCGCCAATCATCCCCGAAGCTCGCTGGATCCTCGCTCGACGAGAGAGGTCTCCCCGCTAGCGCACCCTCCGACTCCGACCAGCATCTGATCTCGCGGGGATGGACCAGGACAATTTCGCTTCGCTAATGAATGATACGCCTAAATATTTTCCTTAATTCCACCATTTTCCACCATTAATCGCAATTACTGCCAACAACGAATTTCTCTCAACGAAATCATCTCTCTGCAACTTCCATAAGAAATTTAAATATTAATCAAACAAATGGAACAATTTCCGGTTTTATACCTCTTGAAATTCCAAATACATAAAATTTCCAAAACGTACAACGTTCAACACCCCACGAAGAGCGGACTCATCGTTTCGAGTGTTCTCTCGTCGAAGGTCGTAGGGTGAAAAAAAAAAAAAAAGAAAAGAGAGGAACGGAAGAGCTTGGAGGCTGATCGTCGTGACGAGGGTGAAGACCGACCGGCGAGGGAGAGTTTCAGATTAAGGAAGGAAGGGAAGGGAAGGGAAGGGATGAATGGATGGCAGAGATGCATAGAAGAAATTGAGACGGGTGATCGTAGCTGCCGTTATCGCCAAGGGAATCATGGGGGTGAAAGGCGAAGGGGGTCTCTGACTCCCTGTTTGCGTTTTCTTTGCCTTCACGCGCCTCGGATCGTTTTTGCTGCTTCTAACCCACTCCAGAAAAAAAATCCAAGTTACGCAAATGCTTCAGTGTACTAACTCAGGAACTGAAAAAAACCAAAAAACCTTTATCAACAACAGTGTAAATAAGAAGAAAAAATACTATACGAAGTTACATATACGAAGTTTCAATATCAACCAAAAATTGATCCAACTTCCATCAAAGGGATAGACAATTTCACTAACGACAATAAAGCGTACGTCATCATTTTTCGACAAAAAGTACAAAATACATCAGGTGCCACCTACAAGCTGACGGATTGGAAATTGGAAAAGAGCGTATTGGTCGAAAGATATTGTAGTTGAATGGGGAAAAAACGAAGACTGAGTTTTACGTCATCAAGCTATGGAGGGAATGACGCCTACTTTGTAGGGTGTAAAAAAGAAATGTTGTGTCACGGCTTTTTCAAATGAGATTCTATATTTTTAGATTGGGAGAAATATGTTGAAAATTGTTTTCCCCGGCAAAAATAACTTTTATTTTCAAGTTCGAGGGCGAAATACATATATTTCATTACGTCACATTTAATCCTGGGAAGATGAATAATGATCTGTAACTATGTAGTATGATAAATGGATATAGTGTTATTTTGGCTCATAACAATGTTGTTATAATTGTGTATACAATTTGCATAGACATTTTTGTAAAATCCTGAAATTTCATTGATTGAGAATGTCATTACCCGCAAAAATTTCGTCGATAGACAAAATGATTGATCCCAACTGCAGTAGCAACCTATGTCAATAAAGAGTCCGATGATAAGATTGATTACTATCAAAATTGCTGTTGGCAAGGAAGAGATAATTTCTTTTTCTACAGTATGAAAATTGTCACATAGAGGGCTGATGCTTTGCGGTTTATCGACTGCTTTGACCATTTTTATCGACGGAACATTGCTATTCCGTGTCACCGACGACACCGACGAGATACTGTTAGACACCCATGGTTGAAGGACCTATTTTACCATTCATAGATATTAAGAAAGCTGTCATATTTAACAAATTAAAATTTGCCAATCAGTTCCAGTGGTAGAAAAAATTGTATAGAATATACATATGTATGAGGCGTTCCTAACAGGAATTTATATACTAGATAAGTATCGAATGCCTACCGTACTGAAAAGGGGAAAATTAAAATAAATTTTCAAGATACAGACTCACTGTTAAATAGTGTTAGTATATTACAGGTAATACCTCTAACAATTACAATTAATTATTTTAGCACCGTCAAGAAAAATTGTTATTCGACACATATACCTATTGCAATTAAAAGTCAATTTTGTTACTACACATCTATGTATAAGTGATTACATAAAGCGCGTTTGAGAGGCAACGCGAGCCGGAGAACTGTTGTTATTGTCGAGCATCACTCGACTCGTTTACAAATTCTTTATGCACGTGTTTCACCGTGAATTTTTATTTTACTTCTAAACAGCTGTCGGCACAAGAGCGTCTGCTCGAGTAAACATTTAAAGCATTTGTCCCAGTGAATTTGTGCGATAACCTGTTTGAATAATTTGTTACATGTGTTCGTTGCATAGCGTCCAGTGCTATTTCAGATAGCACAGACTTTGTTCAATGGCTTATCTTATGATTAGTTGTAATAACTGGTATAACCATTAATATCGAATATTGGGAATAAATGAGATTATGTTGTTATTTTATACCTTGATAATATTATGTCCAGCTTATACCCCATATGTATGTAAATCTGTCACGCCGCACTGTGTCGACGTCGCGCGTCGGTTGAATTTTTCGCACGTAAGTAAGTACCATTACCGTTGAGAAATCAATACACGAAATCAGCACAGTTCCCAAATAGCACGCGAAATATAAATTACATAAATAATCTGACAAGTCGCGTATAATGTCACTGCACTTTAAGCTTTACATCACTATCTTCAAGTAATGGAAGATTATTTCTATTTTTCTTTTTACATAATGTTTACGATTTTTCAACGATTTTTGACGGGGTACATTTAAGGAATGCATCTGCCTATCTTTCTCGTCTTGGGTATTGTGTTCGCAGGTCTCATCTTCCATGTTCATACACGGAACACTAGCAACTATGTACTTACATAAGTATGTTGTAAAGTGAAACGATAGAGAGGTGTTTACTGTTCATCGTGAAAGCTATACAAGTGTCTACAGGATTTCCGAGATTATGTAAACTCGATGGTGGATTCGCAGGAGGATGCAGTTTAATTGAAGGACTTGTAACTAGTGCGAAAATGAAATGAAATTGAAGAGTAAGACTATGCTTGCAAAGGGATTTTGATAATTGAAATAGTGAATTAAAGATATGCAAAAGCTTTCATTATTTATCGAGCCCTATTTTATCTTTAATATTTAATTATGTAGGTATACACATATAGTATATCCTGGCTCTACATACTCAGATATCAAATTTCGGCCATGTTTCCCTTCCGTTGTCCACACAATTCAATCTTTAAATGAGCTCAACTTACGAGATGAAAAAAGCATTTCCTAATCGTGATGTATGCTTCTCGTAATGTATTAATTTGCTTTTCTATGATGGACTACTGTTTAATATAAAGGTAGATGGTAAGGTAAATGATTGAGTGGTGTATTATGTATATACGTTTTCGGGGTGTGACTAAAACGAGGGTCTGAAGGAAGAGAAGTAACGTTGTAAGGGTAGGTCACGAAAAGGTAGGTGAAAATGGACAGGGGTGAAGAGGTCTAAAGTGGTGAAGAAAGATTAACTGATTTATGGTGAGGCTTGTTTACCCACCTTTAACTTTACCAACAGAAAACTCCCCATTACATATACCTATATGTATAATATTATCGTATTGTAGTGTGATTGTACATAGAAAGGTAACGATGCCCCTTATTATCTACATATTTCTGTTCTACTTTCACTCAACTATACATTCAACTCTGAAATAACTAATAAGTTAACAGAATCTTACATACATACCGTGCACAGTATTACAGTTTTAATGTGATAAGAAATTTAAGGTGGCAAGACTAAGTATTTCTTTATTCTTTCATGGAGCCAAGTTGCTTTGATCGACCGAGTTTGTGTACTCTGAATAACATGTCCGCGGAGAACACGGAAGCGGAAATCCATTCAGCCGCGACGCGACATGTAAACTTTTTACCCTGGCCGGTAAGCCAATTTGAAACTTTCCACTGGACGAAGTTTCATCGGTGTCAATTTTTTATGGGTGATTCAAGCTGTGCAGCTATGCATCCGAAAGTTACTTCTCGCGTCCAATTAATCGTCAACGAAATATTTAACATCGTATCCAGATCATAACTTGGATGTCTGCAAAGTTTCCTGTTAAACGTTTTATCTCTGTCAAGAGGGTAACGGGTAAAGGAACGAAATTCAATGCTGGCGGAGTTAAAGGAGAGCCATAGGAGTTTCTTTTATGAGTGGGGTTTGAAAGTTCTTTGAAAAACATCGGGAAAATTAGAAGCTGAAATTTGTATGTCTTTTTACTTCTTTCACTGGTTCGATGTTTGTGCTGGTACACCTAACTTTCTAGATTCTAGAGTAAGTGTAATGAAATTTTGTTTACGAAGGGGAACGTAGGAATGAAAGGATTCAAAGCAAATAACTGAACTGGTGAGTATACTGGTTTTGGAACTATATTTTGAAATAATATTTTTTATTCACCAGTGGATTTCAGCTATTTACTTTAATCAAAAGAAAACTTTACAATGTAATTACATTATCTCCTTAATTAGAATATTAAGATACCTTAACAGCGAAGCGATCGCATAATCACAAATAAGAAACTGATTTTGCCACGGTACACGCGGTATGTAATTAATAAACAAAGCACCGCACCGTCGAGATTTTAACGTATTACGTATTCCCGTGAGGAAAACGAAGTTTCCTCCCACAATTTACGAGAAACCAGCGGACGGTGGAAGCTTTTGCTAAGAAATGTTCGAACGTGTTTCCTTCAAAATACAAAATGTAAAATGTAAGTGAACGTGTAAAGACCAAAACTCCCTTAAATAAGAAAATCTGGCTACCCTTTGAAACGAACGTTGGCTAAAATACATATCAAAGTAGATGGAAGCACTGAACTGTATGCTTTAAACTTTCAAGGAAAATTGCTTCCTCTGGAAACTTTTTCACAAATTTTACTCAAATATATAGTTCTTAATTTAGGTACTTGAATCCTGAGTTCTTAATAACGCTGATTAGATATGTATAAAACCACAGTGTTCGCACATTTTTCCTGCATTTTATGTCATCAATGTAACATAAATTCTGACAGAGTGGATCCT